GCAGCGCAGCATGAAAGCCTCTGCTGGGGCTATATCGGTCACAGACAAGCCCTGGGGTGTGGGTTTTGGTAATGTTGCGGATATTTTTAGCCCAGCTGATGATTCGGGGTATTTACATGGGGTGCAAAACTCGCACACACACCCTGACGCTGAATATTTCACTTCTCTGTGCAGCAGCAGGCAGTCAGCTTAGTAGAATTAGCTAAATGACTAACTTAGGCAATGACTGCGCATGTGCATGCAGTTTGTTTTCAACACTTTCACATAAAGTAAGCCACCAGAAGCCGACTAAAGTGATTAACAAAAACGCTGCTGGCGATATGACAAATGGTCAGAAAGCTTTCAGTGTCGTTACACAATTGTTTAAAGATGTAAAAACAGCTAATAGCACTGAGTGTCCATAGTTTGTGGCTTTTTGTATTTGCATGGAGTAAATACATTGACTTGTCAAACACAGAGAAGAAGAGGCTCCAGGCATTATTGGTTAATAAGTAACTACTATGTTTTTTTGCACAGACACATCCCACCTTTTGTCCAACAGACAACATTTTCTTGAAAACAGAAACTAGTAAATACGCACTGAGCTTCTTGGTCTGAAATGCAAACCCAGATTCAGAATCATCACTCATAAAGTTTTTGTTTGTTTGTTGAAAATGCAGATGTTTGAAATGTTGCCTGACATCTGTGCAAAAACTGGGCAACACTGATTAGTGTGCATGAAATTAAATGAATGAAATAATCCCTTTTTTCCAGTTTGGATTGAACGCTTTACTGGAAAATACAGTATGTTTAACATAAAAGAAACTTTTGTCACTCAGATGTGATGATCTGTTTGTTCCATACAAAACAACTGTCTTCAACAACAGGGATTTCACGGTTTATAAAGGGACAGCACGTTACAGAAGTGGTTTAATGAGGCGTTTGGTCCACAGGAAACTGTTACTGATCACAATCGTATTATTGAAAGCAAATCTACGGTGATATGTGGCTAATATTTTCCATCTGTCGTTTACTATGCAAAACATAAGGCCACGCATGTTTGAATGCAGTTCATGTTTTAAAACCTACACACTGGAAACAAAACAAAAAAAAGATTTACTTTGCTTTTCTCCATTTCAAGTCATCAAGAAAATGAAGATAGTGGGATTTGGCTGCCAGGTAAGACTACGTAAACTCACTGACTTCACTTCTGAATCTTACAATCCACATTTGCCATTAGTTTGTATATCTGATTATCTCACTGCAGGTTTATTTACCTATTGATAAGAAAAATGATTATAAGTCGCAATGCTTAGATCTCCCAAAAGTGGAGACCGAAATATGGACGTTCCACTTTCTGTGATAAACAAACCAATGTGTCTGAGCGCTGACCTGCTGCCAAAGAGAAGTTAAATGGTAACTATTAGCTGGTGGGCCATCGTCCTGTTCCCCTTTTTCCAGCCGACTCATTTCAGCAGACAAAGACAGCGGGAGGAAAGCGCTTCTCACTGAATCGCATTCAAATGAATGACAAAGAGCGTGACTTTAATATTCAAAGTCATTTATCCACAGAGAGGACCCAGCGGGTGTTGCAGTATTAACCTAATCAAAGCTGAGCTCGGGCTCAATCTGAGAGGAATGCAGCTCTCGTGCGTTAAAGCATCAAATATTTGACATACACCTGGAAAAGTATGTCCTGCACGTTCTGCCTATTTCAAGAACTTTGCCCTTAAATGTTGAGACACACAAGCGTTAAGCAACATTCAAAGATCATGGGCACGGCCATGTGGAGATGACAAAAATGTGAATGCTTTCGTTACCATTGATTTCTATTTGAATAAAATGAATAAAATGCAAAACATGTATCTGGAAAAAAAAAAAAAAAAAAAGCTAACAGTTGGTTCAGAGCACTCCTGGAAATGTTGGCAGTGTTATCTTATTCCTCCACATGGGCTGTTGTTTTCCTGTCGGCTTATCGAGAAAACTGACTCACTGTTCTCAGCTGGTCAAATGAGTTTCAGTGACAGACGAGTTCTGTTCCATAAACAAAGGGGGGGCAGAGGTGGTTTCCAATAGTGGAAAGTTTGTAATACTACAAAGAAACAACTGGCAAAAATAAAAATGGAACAGCAGCGTAGTGTGATTCTGCATCATTACTTCTTTCTCTGGGGCCCACGGTTATACTCCGCGCATTACAATGAATAATCATCGTTACGTTGATGGTAAAAAAAAAATAAAAAATTACAATAACGGACGGGACAAATGGTTCCGTTATGACTAAACCGCCACAAATCCTCACTTCAAAAACAATAAAAACGAAATATGTGGAAATTCCAGCCCTCCCCCAATCGCATGATGACCTAAGATCCTTCCTGAAACGAGGAGTCTGAGTGATACTATCATCAACAGGAGAGCAGGTCCGTCAGATCAAGATGGCACGCATTGTAGTATTGTTCCCCTGTGGTATTTCAGCTCAGGAAGTGCAGAACGAGCCACAGAGCAACAGTCATATGTGTCCCGGCCCCGGCGACAAAACCATGGAAACTGGCAGACATGAAAACAGCTTTTAACTTTGTCTCAGTGTTTTCCACTATCTCTGATCTTAGCCCGCTGGTGGCTTCGGCCCCTGGGGCAACTCTAGTGAAACAGTGAGAAATGTTGGCACGAATAGTTCTTATTTTTTTTTTCTTTCTTTTGCCACTATTCTCATCTGTTGTGTAACATTTTATTCAGCAGCCTTATTGAGATTCTGACCATTGTATGTAACAAACAAGTGTAATTTAATCCAGGAAACTGAATCACACAAAGTATTTGAATGTGAAAATAAAAGTGAAATGAAATGTTTGAAGTTGTTTGTGCAGCACTGAGCCACCTCTACTCAGAGTATACATGCATATGCGCACACGCAATTTTCATTGAGCTCTTTATCCGTACATTCACGTGCACGTAAACACTGGGGACAATCAAACTGAGAAGATTTACCAATATCCTTGCAATAGTCTGATGGATAACCAGCTACTGCAACAAGTTTACAAGGATTTGGATTGAAGCTGATACACATAGAAGCACTTTAAACAAAACCGGATGGATCCTTCCTGCAGGTGTAGCAGGAAGCAACGCGATGCAATGGGTAGTGATTATGGAAATGTTGTGTGTTTAAAAAAAAAAAAAAAAAGGGTAGTAAAAGATTGGATTTTCCTTTAAAGCCGCAGCCAGCCTGGCCGCTTCACCGTTTCCACACTCCCTTTGATGTGCCGAGGCCTAAGCCATATCCAGCTAGATGCTATTGTGAAAAAATGCTATTTTGCCAAATAACATGGCCAGAATTCAACAGGCTTTGTTCTGTCCGAGGAGAAATAAATGCCTTTGTCTATTGTGAAGCTGGACCAAAATCAGTAGACTGGCTTTTCAACCTCAACATCATTATCCCACCATTGCAGTTTTATCTACCAAAGGCAAAAAAAAAAAAAAGGACACAAAACACACAACAACACAATGGCCGAACATCATGCGATACAACACATCTGCCTTTTTTTTTTTCCACCCATATAGTGGTGGACTAGTTGTATCAACTATAAACTCTCTGATTGCTAACGTTGCATTTTCTTGAGTCCACAACAGCCATGTAATGGTCGAGAGACACGCCGACTGCTGGAGGCAACATTTCACAGGTCACCTTGGATAGAAATCCGCCCCAGGACGACTATTAATTAAGATGAGGACTAGGTAGAAGTGCCAAACTTTTACTTTTTCACATGCCGCCCAAAAAAAAAAAACAAACATCTGGAAGAAAATCTGACATTATATGAACCAATAATGCAAAATCTAATGTATCCATTCATGTTGATGGTGTTCAGCAGGCGGAAACTACTTAATTCCCCACATACTAAGCTGGTCAATGTTTCAGCGAGGTCTTACGGATCATTGCTGGTGCACAGACGAACATGTGGTTAATAATATATAGGAAGAGTACAGAGTTATTGTTGGCAGGATATACACACCATAGATGTTGATGAGTAACAGGACACTCTGCAAAGCTGTCACTGTTAAACAGGCCGCTATGCTTGATCTACAATAAAAAAAAATGTTTAATAAATATTCCCAAAAGGGACTGGAAATATTAGTTTTACATTTTTTTACATGGGTATATTTGTGGTTCTTGACATTACATTAGCTGAGACCTGAAGCTAAAGCTGCTATAAAACTCCTATGAAAACTTTTTTCATGACTAAAGTGCCCCTTTAAATTTGATTTAATACAATACTCTGTGTGCAGGGCTCAGATTCACAGGAAGCTATAAGACAATTTCCTGCACTGTGCACAAAGAGAGAGAGAGAGAGAGAGAGAGAGAGAGAGAGAGAGAGAGACAGAGAGAGAGACAGAGAGAGAGAGAAACAACCCCTGACTCCAGATTAGAAAAGTGTAAAGACTTGCAGGATAAAACCTGGGCTGTGAATGAAGGTGTGAGGAGTTCATGGTCTGACTAAGCTGCAGCTCAGACACAACTCACACCATTCACAAGTACATGCAGGCAAACATGTAAATCAGTGTAAAACATGAAAACAGAGCAACGTGACTTCTACTTTAAATCAACTGGTGTTTCACCCTCCTGCAGCAGCAGCAGCAGCAGCAGCAGCTGGCTACAAATTAAAGAAAAGTCAGCGTTTTGTCTTTGTGTGTTACCGCTGCACTTTGAGCAAAGTCTGTTACATAACTCTGTACTAATTCACAATTAACAAGACAAGCGCACAGTGGCGTTTCTTTGCATGAAATTTAAAAACATGAGGCCACAAGTGTCTCTGTTTGAAACTGGGTCTGTGGCACGAAAAGAGAAAAAGTTGAGGCGCCCCTGCTCTCTCACGCTGACCGCCTCACTTCAATCTCGCCCGCACAATCTCTGACTGCCAGTACGGTGAACACAGGCTGTGAAATATTACGGCGCCATTAAAGACAGATTTAAAAAAAACAAAAACAAAAACAAAAACACACACACTCACAGACACACAAAGCTTGGATTTTACCTGCGAGATGTCATAGCAGTCTCTGAAAGCTGTCAAGTGTCCTCAAACGTTCCCGGTCTGCCTCTGCTGAGTCGCTGTGAGGAGTGAGAGATGTGTTGAACCTGCGCGTGCAGCGACACACAACTACTGGCACGACTTCCGGTTGTCACTTTCAAAACAAAGGCCCTGTTTGAGGGCTAACTACTAAGTGAAGTGAATTTTTAATGTTGTATTTAAATCACAAGTTATTTGAAATATTCCTGTTTGTATGACATCAAACTTTTGCACAAGAATCTTTATTTTCTTTTATTTCAAGAATCTGTATTTTCTTTCATTTCATAAAACATATCTTGTCAAAAAAATTCTGTGGTATTTTGATTGTTCAACATCATGTTGCATCCTACTATTACATTTAAAAATGTAGCTTTAGTAATGTATAAGTTCTTATTTATTTCTGACCACTTTACACTTTTGTTTTGAACGACAAGCCTCACTTCCTGTCCTGCTCTGACTAACTCCAGCTGACTTGATAAAAACCTTGGACAACATTGTTAAAGTTCTTGGTGACATAATCAGGTTAATGTCAGAGGCTTCGTAGCCTTTTATTATAAGGGCCCTTGAAAAATCTGCATAAACAGATCATTACGTCCTCACTTCTGATTGGTTGACTCGTGTTCCCTGCTGAAAATGAGGGGCCCACCCAACTGTTGATTAATTAAAGAGCTAAAACAGTGTGTGGCCGTGTTGTTTAGATGCTGTCTGTGCTGTAACATGGAAGAAGGCTGTGTTAATTATTAATAATGAGTAATTACAAAAATGAAAGACCTATAATTTATTTACGTACCAACTGTTAAAGAGAATAAAACTGTTGTAGGTCAACAACCTACAAAATAAAATAAAATATCTCACTCATAGTATCAAGGCTGGTTCTCAATATTATTTCATTTATTGTCGCCCATTGATTTATTTACTTTCCACCAATGACGCAGTAGTAATGACATTGTGCAGCATCAACAATAGCTCTGCTATTGTCTTGTGAGAGATGAGGCAGGTCGACATCTCCTCCTCTGCTGTACAGTCACGACGGGAAAGTCGCCCAGCTCTGGAGAATGGTGGCGGCGGTGGGAGAGAGAGGAGTAAGAGAGGCAGAGCAGCGCTGACGTCACCAGCCTGTGGTTATCAGTGGAGGTTAATCTACTGGGGGATGGATGGGCTTATGCAATTGTCTGTGAGCCCACAGGCTTCACGTCTATGGATTTGCTTTTCCACTGTTTGACCTAGTGTGCTGCTGCAGCCTACAGACAAACACTGAAATGATGGAGTGGGAATTTCTACTCTTTGTGGAATTTCTGTTGTCGAAGAGCCAAATGCAGTGTGCTCGGAGCGGGATAGATGGGTTTGAACATAGGGGTTTATTGTTTGGGTCTGGTGAGCAGTTAAAATGATCCTGTTGCAGCATGGGAGAAGATTACTGTCTGATCGATACCTCGTGAAAACTGATGAAGAGGGTGAGAAACAGCTGAGTACTGGAATAACACTGAGTGCACATTTAGTGTTTCATAGTAAATGTGATTGATACTGAACTGAAGGACTTGAAAAACAAAGTCATTACCATTTATCGGGCGGTTCAGATGCCCTTTGTATATCATGTGCTCATTTAAAGGATGATGGGGAACTATTTTTGTGCCGCACCTACAGGCACATATTTCAGGAGATAACTGGCTCACTACGGCTTCTGTTGAAAAAGGACAATCAAACTGTGTTTTAGTGATTGTGTGTGGGTTTTTGTGGCAACACAAATAAGCACGACTTAAAACATCGTAATTGCTCTTTGACTATAATGGAAAAATAATCTTGATGTAATAAGTTTGACCTCAAAGCTGGTGCTTTAGTGGCTATTTGCTCTATAGGACTGAGGGGGGTGGGGAGTGTCACCATGGCAACCAGTGTGGTAATTTAATTTAAGTGTATATTCATTTTCTACACTGCATCCCAACAATAATGACAAAAATGACTCTTGACAATAAAAGCAAATTCCAAGAAGAAAGATTTTCACAGCGTACAGAAAGCGACTGGAAAACAATGGATGCCTGTAAGAATAGAAAAACTAGATTAAAACAGAACAGCAGGGTTTACTGAATGATTAACTGTGACGTAATATGGTCCTTCAATAAATGGAATAACTCTCTCACAGGTTATAGTGGTGCTAAAGTTAGTGATGAGAAGAACGAGTAAGTTGCTGGAGTGCAACGTTCAGTTTTTGTTGTTTTATCACAATGCAGACTGATGTCCTGTTGAGTCTGAGAGGGACAAATAGACTCAAGAACACAAAGCCCAGTTTCCCACCCAGGGGAACGGAAACCAGGAAGTCTCATCAACCCCGAGGTGACTGGCTCTAAAGGCCTGTGGCCTTTGGCCCCTTTTTTGCCTTGAGACTTGCAAATCTGCCTCTCCAAAGACTGAAAAAAAATTGGAAAGGGAAACAAAGGGGACTTATACTGAGAGTGATGCAGCTGGACAGCTGGAGCCTTGTCACAGAGAAAGAACTTTTATTACCATTTGGACGTAAAAAGCTGAGAGAGAGGAACTTTGTTTCATAAAAGGGGGTGAAGTGTAGTGCGCTATGGGTGAGGTCTTTTATTTTAGGGGAGTAACTGTCTGAGGCTTTTAGGAAAGATTCGTAGAAGACCGTTCAGAGGTTTTCTAAGAACAGTTTCTTCCATCACTGATGATGTCGTGGCCTCGACTGGACTCTGGGGCCTGTGTTTGGCTCAGGGAGGAAGATTTGATAACATTTCATCCAGATGCAGAGAGGGCCTGCGTTTGTTGCATAATTCATAAATCCACTTTGACCAATGAAAAGACTGAGTTTCCCAACGTGTGCTACAAAAAAACGAATGAATCTGAAAATGTCCCGGCGGCCTCAGAGCTCTCGTCTCTGCAGCTTCTTCTCAAAGTCAGTCAGTTGCTCAACACATGAATCAAAATGAGCTTCTGTGTCTGCTCTGTCCTGTGAACCCTGTGCCCCCCCCCACCCCCCCCCGAAAGACACATAATTCACCCTGAACTGTTTCAGCCCTCCACAGCTCCCCCCGGGAGTCACCCACACAGCGATCCTCTATTTCATTACTTAGTTATTTATATAAATGTCTTTATTTTGTTTTGATTTTTAATTCCTGTAAAACCCTTTAATCAAACTACTTACACTTATTAACTTGAAAACAATCTCTCCCCAGAAGGATCCCTCACTGGGCAAAACTATTTCATCTACACCATTTCATAGAGTTTTAATTAACACAACACAAGATGCAGTGTCCTTCTCTGTCATTAGCAAGGAATAAATTAAACTCATTAAAATCTCCGGCTTAATGAAAATGCTCAAGACAGACGTGGGATGTGCTGAAAGATGTATAAAGCTGTGCAGCAGTTACTTTTCTTTTCTTTCCTTCCTTTTTTTCCTCTTGAATTCCAGGCTTGCAATTAGCAGCAGGGCACCAGAGATCGCTTTAGGTGGTTTGAATTATAAGAAGTAAATATCACTGTAGCCAGAATTGCTCTTTATTGATGTGCGTATGAGTGCGTCGGCTCAGAATGCTTTTGATTTGGAAAAACACCGTTCGTGTTTTCGACGCTTCAATCAAACTTGTGAGCTGAAACCGCTCATTAAGATGTGATAGACTGAAGTCTTGACTTGCGATTGCCTCAGTACATGCAGGTGTGCCTGGAAACTAACAATGAATCGGGGACTGACGCTGAATTAATTAGATACTTGAGCTTCTCCACCAAATTGTATTTCAGTTGTTGCAATTTCACAACTGACCTAAACCTGGAAAATATATAGGAAATACCTCTTGATGGGGCGTCTTCCATTAGCCCTTTTATTAGCTGAAGGCGTCGTACATGAGTATACCGCAGCTTAAATGTCTTATTTCTTATTAACATTGAACTGCTTGAGGGCGAAGGAAAAAGACTTGAGCGTAATAATTCTGTAGTTTCCTCCCTTTAAGTTCAGGACTGTTATCAAGAGTCTCCATTTGACTAAATTAATTTAACACAAGTTCAACTCGTTAGCCTCCTCTGTGTGAGTTTCACTCACATCTCTTGGTCTTCATCAGTCGATGGAGTTTGCTTGGTTGTCATAGAGATGAAAAGATTATTCAGTCAAACTACAATGACCAAGGTCGAGAATGAACTTTCACGTGTTTACCATTTCATGCAACAACAGATATGCAAATTAGGCATGAACACAAAACTAAAAAAAGAAAAAAGGAAGAAGAAACAGCTGGTGCAAGTTAAAGAATAAAAAAAGACCAAATCCAACAATGAATTGTTAATGAAGTGCAAACAAGTATTGTCTGATACTTCTTCTTCCTCTGAGCCACAGACCTCCATTGTTGTCTCCAAACTATAAAGAATTCTCAACTAAAGGTCTACTTACTAGACTTGTCTGGAGCTTTCAACTGCACAGTCTTCATTGCAAATCTCGCAGTCTTCCTCAAAGCTAGTAAGTGGACCTTGAGTTAAGAATTTCCTCAACTACACTTTCCAAAGTCAGGAATCGATGTTGGCGTTCGACACTGGCACTGTAGTTTATTTTGAGCGCCACACACTCGAGCAGCAAATTTGTATTCATCCACAGGTAAAAATAGTCCCCAGCAAACACATTATTATCTCCTGTTAGAGTAATGTTTGCTAAAAAGCAGGTGTGCCCAGGTGTGTCAGGAGCCTTTTTTAAAAGTCAAAGCACATATTTGTGTAAAATTAAAAAAAAAAAAAGGATTTCCATCTTCAGTAGGAAACAGTAACAGTAAGTGCCACAGACAGATGAGGGAAATCATGCAGCACTGAGAGACAGACATTGTTGGTTTTGATCTTTTTACAGGACTCGTTCAAAATAAATAGAAATATCAAAAACAAAAACACCAGCTCTGACAAAATCAAGATGGCTGACAAGAGTGGGCTCCATTTGGTTGACATTTTATTTCATGGTGGTAGGAACACAAGACAAAGGTCATAAAGTTAGTAATGTTCAGGTCATGCCACTCTTACTCGGTGCACTGCCCTTTGAGGAGGTTTGCGCAGTCAGACAGTAGTTTACAGAGGCCAGACATGGAGGGTAATCCACATGTAGACATAAATAAGAGAAAGAAAATAGATTAAAAAAACAAAACAAAAACAAAAACAGTAAATAGAATATTTTTTGTAAAAAGCCAGAGGGGACGTTTGCAGAGGCCCCCTGGGATTTTTTTGTGTATGAGCATTATTACTAATATAATTATCATTATTATTATGTATTACTCATTTACATTATGGGGATGAGGCTAATACACTGGCTAAAGAAAGGAAACGGTTATATGGATGAAGTCTTTGTCACCTGCTCAGAGTTGAGGTGACCGGTTTTTAAGGCAATTCATAGTTTCCACCCAAACCATAGACTGTGACTGTCTCGACTGTTTATTGAGTCCATCCGAATACACAAGAATCTCTCCTGTATTAAGTGATACCACCTGAATGGGTCAAATTCAAACAGGGTGGTAAAATAAGACCAGTCTAAGGTTAATAGAGTGAGTGCTGGAATTTAAGCGTGTCTTCAGACACCAGAGGAAGGGGTTCCTGGTCTGGTGCGGACACTCAGAGCTTGATTACACACAACACAGTTTATAGCTTTAGGGCTATCCCTCCCCCATGTACATGAAGTATATCATCGTGTGGGTGAACAGACAAGTCAGACATGGTTCCAGTGTATATTACTAAAAACATAAACCTCCACAGATCACACATTTGCTAAATTTACACTTAAAAATTGCAGGGCTGTACAAAAACAGGTTGCTTGATGATTGAAGAAGAGAAACATAATCCAGAAATGAAAGAAAAAAAAAAAAAAAATAGTACAAGACATGATACTCATCCACAAACAGGCATGATTTTGTCTTAGAATATTGCCAAGGTTCTCATATCAAAACAAGAGTGTCTTTAAGTCAGTCGACGCAGCTCATTGTGGTTCAGCAAAGACGACTCCACACGTTGCATCAGTTCACTGAATGTTACAGAATTCGCACTAGTAATACACAACTCATGCGTTGCTATGTTAATTTGCAAGTACTGTAGGATTATGCATCTTTTCCCATTTTTGTGTGGCTGTTATGGCTTCAAAAGGTCACAACAACATCACAGTCTCTTTCTCTCTCTCTTTCTTTCTTTCAATCTTTCAATCTTTCAACAGCCGAAAAAAGACTCCTCCAAGAATGTTCCCAGGTCAAATATGAAAAGAAATTAAGTCTCAGGCAGAGTTTGTTTGTTTGTTTTTTTTGAAGTGTTTGTGTTGACTGTTGTTTGACAGGACATTCCCAGGAGTAGTCGCTCTCCCCGTGATAAGATCCCTCCTTGCTTCCTTTCTGTCTGTCCTTCTTCTTCTTCTTCTTCTTCTTCTTCTTCAGTCTTTGCTCTCAGCTCCTCCTTAAGGTCAGATACGGTAACAACTCTTCCTCTTATGCACCATTCAAGGTCCTGCAAAACTAACTGCTCCCGAGAAAAAATAAGACCAAAAAAAAAACAAAATAAAAAAAAGGAAAAAAAAAAAAGATACAGGGAATGAACAAGCATAAAACATTATTCCCCAGCTCTGTTGTTTCTGGAATTACATCAGTGGATGTGGAGAGAAAAAAACCTGTTTTAGTCAATGCAAAAAAACCAAAAACCAAAAACAGTGACATTTTTTCAAATTAGAAACCTTTTTTTTTTTTGTGTGGAACGAAATGGAAATAAAAGAACAAACAAAGAAAATCCAGATTCAAACCAACACTGCAGAAGTGCATGCATTTATAGTGGTCATCATTAATTCATCTGCTGATTGTAAAACAGAACGCACAATAGTACATGAGAAGCACAATTTTCCAAAGAGAACCCATCTTACATATTCACAGTCTCAGGTATTATTTATATACTCTATATTTATAACATTTATTCATGTCTATGATTCATGTTTTGACTTTTGACTAATGAAATGCGAGTCATTGTGGAATGTAGCGCGCTCTCTCATCGCAGTGTTAGTGAGTCATATTTCAAAACTAAAGCCTCTGATGGGATTCAGATCGAGTTTTTTTCTTTTTCGTGTTATATATATATAATTTTTTCGAGGGGGGGGGGGGTTATGAGATGGGGGTGGGGCTGATCGAGTGGTTTTGACTGTGAACTTTCGCGCTGCAGCAGCTTGACTGATAAAAAGTCCCATTAGTTATTTAAATACAGGGGGGCACTGAGGCTGAATGCAGAGTCTTGACAGTAGACGCCAGCTGGCTTGCCGCTGTTAAAGAACTGCACACGCCAGCTACAGGATACACAGCGTCCAGCTCTCATGGGGAGGGGGGGGGGGGGGGGTGGGGGGGTGGTTGAGAATGTACGTCTATATAGTCATGGATGTATAAGCCATGCTTGGGGAATGTGGATGATAAGATATGGCACCAAGACAAGGCAGTAACCAGAGATCATCAGCGAGGTCCACCGGTGTTCAAGTAATGAGCGCTGAAGAGGTGCAGGCTTTTTTTTTTTTTTTTTCCTCTAAGTTGGCGTTTGTTTTAAAACAACAAAATATGACAAGAATGAAATCTCTCTTTTTTTCACAGAGATGCTTGTTTTGTTTTTTTGTTTTTTTTGTTGAAAAAAGCTGAAGAGCCAGGGCGGTAAAGAAAAGAAAAACAAAAACAAAGTGTGTTCTGTGAACGGAGGTGCAGAAGAAGAAAAAAAAAAAAAAGAAAAGAAAAAAGAACAAAATATATAAAACAAAAATTAAAACAACATATTCATTTTCTTTCCATATAAAAAGCAATGAAAAGTATACAAAAATAGAAAATAATTACAGCAGGAGACATGAGCGCTATGGAGGGAGCGGGTGGGAGGGTTTTCTCTTTTTCTTTTTTTTTCATTTCTCTCTACGGTTTGTCTCTGCCGGGTTATTTGGCGGCGGAACAGTGTAATATTTTGGGGCTGTTTAAGGCGTCCTCCACCAAGTGGAGCTCCACGCCGTCCACCACCACGTCTTTGATGCAGCCAACAAAACCGGTGCTGTAGGCTTTGGGCAAACGACGGGCCACGGCCAACTCCTCCAGACCACCTGAGAGGAGACAGAGGGAGAGGTTAACATGATGATGAATCAGCTCCTGCACAGAGACACTAACTCCACACAACAACTGAGTTTAATTACAATTATAATTAAAACGCTCTCAGTTTGAAATGCAGAATGTCTTAAAAAATGTTCATTTCAAAGCTCAGCCCATGATATCCCTGGATGACATCATTAGAGTTTATTCTCCCAGCTCTTCCAGGCAACATTACACAGCTCTGCACGACTAGCAAACTGATGCTACGTGTAAAATCTGCGGAGGGCCCCTTTAAAGATAAAACATGGGGACGCAGATTTGGATTTCATAACAAACTAAACCTATAAATGTCATCAAAAGGTTGTACCAGAACCATTTTGGCAGCGACGTTTATTTATGGTACTAGAGCAAGTGACTTGTCTTTGTCAGGCAGCATTAGAGGCTTTGATTTCTCGCATTGATGACACCAGCTGATGGACATGACAGGATGACACTTTATTTGTCAAACGGCCGTGATCAAAGGGAGAAGGAGCCTGCTCGCCAGCCACCGGAGACTGAGTTAAGATAGATGAGAGAAAGGGTTCTTTTCATTTGACGCGGTGCACAAAGGGCTCAGAAAAGTGCTTCAAATGAAAGGCGGTGACAGAGTGTAAAATTATGACTATCATCCTCATTATTTTTTATTTGTTTCCACTTTTAGTGCCGTCAACTCCCAAGACACCCGTCCACCAAACGCTGTTTTCAGAACTGTGGCGGCTTTTCCTAAAAGTCTAAGTTATAATAGGTGCAGCGCTCCTCCTCCTCCTCCTCCTCCTTCTTCTTCTTCGGCTGCTAATCCACGGATGCTAACAGCGCTAACTACCCATTTGTTCCTCTATTCATTCCAAACATACCAAGGACATAAAGTCCAACCTGTCAAATAACTTGCAGCCAGCACACAATGTAAAAAGGCCAATTCACCCAACTTGAAACTACTTTCAGTCAAGAAAATAGTCCCTATTAAGCTATTGACAGCGTGTTCCAGGACGCTGTTTCTGAGCAGCGAAATGAGACCATTCCCCTCCATTTTAACAGGGTGGTGGCCTTGACCGCATGGCGAGGTACCATGAGAGTTCATTGAGAAAATACCTCTAATTTCTGGGTGAACTGACCCCTGAAAGTATCTGTGAACTGGATGGAAGTTAACTGGCTCATGTTCTTATCTATCAGCCACAGAGAGAATAGAAGAAAAAGGGACATTTCTTAATATAAAAATATCATGGATTTGTACTTCAAAGCAAACGTTTCAGTCGCTTGTACTTTCCATTTTGCTTTGACTTTATTTCACTGTTTCATTTTCTGCACTTACTCGTCAAATTCAAATGATCCAAACGTCTTTTACTGTTTTTTTAACTAAGTCTCAGCATTTTTTTTTTTTTTTTTTTCTCTGTGGAGACTTGATGACCTAATTGCAGGGTGTGTGGCTGGCTCATTTTACCGTTTTTGATGGTGTTTTGAGCTACTCTTTGGAGCCAGCACGCCCAAAGTAGTCATTAGTGTCTTTCTCAATAAATCAGCATGAAACGTCTTTATTCAGAATTTCATGAGATCCATTTGTATGTGTGGAGAGAGAGAGCGAGAGAGAGAGAGAGAGAGAGAGAGAGAGAGAGGCTGACCCCAGTTTTTTGATGTTTTACCTGCTGCTCTCTCTCCCTCTCTGCCGTCTACACTGTCAGAATCCTCCTGCATCCTCTTCCTTTCTTCCCTTTATGTTCGTCCCCCCCCCCCCGCGCATCATTCCCCATTTCTCCGTCTCTTCCATGTTTTCTCTTTTTTAATCTGTCAGGCTGAGAGTTCACATCCCCGTCGAGCTCTTTACATCCCCTGTCCGTGCCCCCTTTAATCGGATTGCGTGCCTCCGAATCAGGGATCGACAGGGCTAATTTCATGCGAGTTACAGATGAATTAATGATGAACAGTGAAAAGGGGATTTAAAAAGGAGAAGGGCTCTCGATGGGAGGGCTGTGTGAGGATTATGTATTCTTGCTGCAGGGCTCGCTCAGCACCTGTTCCACTGCACTGCCTCCCTGTGTATACGTACGTGTGTGTGTGTGTGTGTGTGTGTGTGTGTGCGTGCGTGCGTGTGTTTGTACACATGTACCTGAGTGCACGAGCGCAAACCCTCTAACGTCTGGCAGCGTGTCTCTTAAATGTCACTCAGGCTGCCTCTCCTCTTCACCACTGTGCGTTTTGCATTTTAAAGAACAGCCTGACTTTATTTCTCCGCCCGTCCTCAATGTTATTTCCTCAGAACCTTCAATCCTGCCGTGCCATGTGTGTTCTTTCACAAACCATTTTCTCTGAGCCAAGTTCAGACCAAATTGAACTCGAGGTAGATAACGGGCTGACTTTGGCCATTTTCAATTCAGGAGAGAAGACAACTTTTGAGTTAGTCAGATAGCCTTTCATTTCTCAACTCAATACCTGAATAGGCACGGACATTTTTTTTTTTTGTTGCACAAAACGCAATCTTTTTTCCCCTGCCACAGACTTTGCTTATCCTCTGCAATGCCAATGAGTTCATTGCTCATTTCTGGCAGCCTTCTACCAGTGGCCAGGATGAAAAAGTACTACAGAATTACAAGTATTCCCCCGGTTTGATGTATTGCATTTGTAGACACATTTTCAAGTATGAATGACAGTTTTCTTTTTCTTTCTTTTTTAACATGTGTGGTTACCTACCCAACCAGAGTGCTCCGTCTGTGTCCAGCTGTGTTGCCGCCAAAGGCGACGACCCCGTTACCGCTGCCTCATTGCCAACCTGTAGAGAGCCGTCTCTAAGTGCTCTGAGGAGGAGAAAGAAAAAGAGAGAGACATGCAGTTGGAAGTTGGTCTGATGCATGGGCGTCACACCGAATAGCTGTAAATTGCAGTTTCATTTAATCTGAAGCATCAAGACTCCATTCCTCCACTGGCAGCGCACTAAGCACTCACATAACTGCCTTTGCCAAGCAGCATTCTAAATGTGCCTGTCTACCAGCTAACAGATGCCGTCACAGCGCCATTAATTTTAGGTGGCTCCGTGTTATGCATTAGCACACACTTAAGAATTGTGACGACGGGGCTAATTCGAACCCCGCTAAAGTGGGTCTCCAACAGAGAGAGTGTCATTAAAGGCGAGCCGCAAACACAGATAGATTTGTAGCTACGTGAGCTCCGTGCCACACGCTGCGATTTACACCATCATCAACATCCAAATCATATCATCTTCCAGCAACTCATGTGGGCCCCCCCCCCCCATAAGCCTGGGATGAGATTTGGCCAAATCCCCGTTTGGAATGGATGCGGCAGCTTTTCGGGGATCGATTATTCTTGCCTTACGCGACCGATCTAATTATCCCCCTTACTTCCATTCTCAGCCATGTTGAAAGCAAATGTTCACCAGCGATAAAGGAGCAATCGCACGGAAAAAGGTGCTAAGTGGGTCATTTTCAAAAGTTCAGGCTGTTCATTTGTTGCTAATAAAAGGGATCCATTAGTGTGTTACATCACTGTGCGGCTGCTAGAACCTGCATTATTGTGTCTACTTTATGTGTTATTTACTTCCGTGTAGACTGCAGACACATGCTGGAGTGTTGATTTGGAGCAGGAGAATATACACCGCTAAAGCACGACCACGACAGCTGAGCTTGAATAAAGGGTTTCCTGTGTTCATAATTTAGTTTTAACGCCTTCATCTTCTCAGCTGATATTGTGCTTGTATACTGTAAAATTCCTACATGAATTTGTGTTTAATAAAATTACCACACAACAAACCTCAGGCGGAAACATTAGTGTTGCTCTTGGCGAGTAAAGGAATTGCAACGTTTCTTCGAGACTGGCAAGTAAACCGCTGTTAATGCTAACGTTAGCTATGTAGCAAAACTTACAAATAGTTCCTTAAAATAAAAGTTGTTCTAATGCATTTCTTTGCCTTATATTACACATTCTTACTTGTGTGTCTGTTTTTTTAAAAGGCGCAATATGATTAAAGTTGCACAGTGAGTGGGGAACAGCTAAGTTTACCTCAGGGTTGTCTCCCAGGTAAATGTGTCCGTCCACGCCCATGCACATTATGTCTTCAAATAGGGTGAATGTATGTAAGTGAGTCTACTGTATGTATACAGTGTATGTGTTTATACAGACACTGTGAGGAATTATTAATATTTCCTATGATATCTGTTGGGATGTTGCCACATGTTCTTCCTTTTTGAACATTCATTAATGTGTCTAAGCAATTTGATACGCAATGCGTCAGGCTCATGCATGACCGGGCATGAAAATAACCTTAATCTGAATCTAATGAGAGTCATCTCAGTGCAAGGGATCACTGTGCAGCAGAGGATTCATGCAAGAGATCTCACAGTTTGCATCAACACAAATACTATATGGATTAAGTCTAATCCTGGTCTAACTGTAAAAGCTTTCACTCCTGATCCGCGACTACCTGCCGTCTCGCATCTCACCTGCTGGCCTTGATGCGTATCCAGCGGTTGGTGTCGACACGCACCGAGGAGCGCAGCACCACGGGCTTGGAGCCCAGGTCGTACGTCATCTGGACGTGACCGTCCACGATGGCCAGGGCGATGTAATCCGAGCGCTCCACGCCCTTCCCGCTCCACAGCACCAGGCCCTGGGTCGCCTCTGTCCGGATGCTCAGCTCGAACTTGTTCACCAGCAGAGCCTTCTCACTAGCAGAACAGAAAACACACGAGTAAGCTTAGTGGTCCAACTCATCAAAAACAATTCTAATCTAGACCGTAGCTGACGCAGCTCGAGTGACGCTTGTGTCATTTGTAGATGCATATGTGAAGCAAAGGGACTTCTGCTGCTGTCTCGAGGCTACGTTACAAATGACTCAAGCATGACATATGGTTGTGTTCGCCTGCACATGTTGCCAGAAAAGCTTCGTAGCTCGAGCTCTACAGCGTCTCAGTAACAGAGACACAGAGACGTTTCAGGAGAATCAGGAGGCAGACAGAGTTGAGGAGTAGCAGTTTGTCTGTTGGCCTTTCTACTTCTTATTGAGCCTGAACTGCTACTCCTCAGTACTTCCTCTGTGTGTGTGAGTGTGTGTGAGTGTGTGTGTGTGTGCGTGTGCCTTTTAGGCAGCTGTTTGATCTCCAGTCCTCTGACTGCTACAGCTGTGAGGGTGATTTGGATGCAGAGACCAGTGACTTCCACCTATCCTTAAGAGGCGCTGTATGTCACTGCCACTGATGTGTGAGAAACATACACACCGTGATGTGCCTCTGCTATCCACCATCGCACGTCTACTCCTGGACACACACACACACACACACACACACACACTTACAGGAGCACCTAAAGTTCCTGTGCTCTTTGCGAGTCCAGCAGAGATACAGTAGACTTCCACAGAGTCGTGTTTGTGTGTTTATGATTGTGTGACCGCGTCATCAATCAGCATCTGTGCATTTGTCTCTGCACATCTGGGCGACTGGATCTACTTCCACCTTCTTCGATGGGTATTTAAACACAGAGACAAAAACAAGGTGACAACACATATGACAAAGAGCCTATGACATGGATTAAATAAACAACAACAACAACAACAACAACAGAGCAGCACAGAGCTGGAGATAAAGATTAGACAAGACAGACAACAAGACAAAGGACTCAGCATAGCAAACAGGGAGGCTCATGGGATTACAAACAGGACAGGAAATGGGAGGGGATAAAGAGAAATTGAGTATGACGCCTTCTCCTTAAACTGTAAGAAGTTTTTTTTTTTTCTAATTTTCTGTGAGTATTAATATTGAAGTGTGAGCAAGAATTAAAAATAGAAGCAATGGGATGATATTTAACTTTGGAGTTTGAGAACTGTGGCCTGTAGCGAGGCTGGTTCACCTCAGCAGAAATTGGGGAGGGAAAGAATCCAGAATCAAATTTGATTTCCTCCTTCAAAGGCATGCTTAGGTTGGAAACTTCGACCTCCTTGATTAACTGAATCTGCTGAGGTTAACAGGAAGAAAAAAAGTATGACTTAAGAGCATCATATTTGTTTTTTCTTCAGTGAAGAAAAAAAACACACATAAAGCTCAGCGAACCCCTCTCCTGGCAAACCCTCAAAGAGCTTACAGGGCCCAATAAATCTCCATCGGAGCAACTTGTCAGTGATAAGGTCAAGGTTATTAAAAGTGCTGAATATATCATGAATAAAACAACACCGGCGCACGGCGTTCTAAATCTTATATACACCACTGACTTTATAGATTTCTAGTGTGTTTGCTGTTTCTTTTTGTAAATAGAGGGATTTTATCTACTTATATGTATTCAAATTCTCAGAGGGCTTCTCAGAGTGCTGTCCTCCATTTCAACTCTAGGTGGCAGTAGTGGTTAGAATAATAAAGAAGCCATCAGGGAGGACAGCTACTGCAAAGAGGCTGCAGCTCTGGCTGGTTCTGTGCCGTTATCAGAGCTCTGAACTTGAGAATTAATTGAAGCATACGCAGCGGCTCTTTGTGATTCGTATTGGTAACTCTATCTCAATAATGGAAACAATGTTGTCTCTGCAGGCGGAGGATTTAGCCCTGTGAGAGGTCGGGGAGGAGGGGTTGTCTGGAGAGAAACGGGGTGGGGGTGGGGGTGGGGATGAGGAGGCAAAATGTGAGTGGACGGCATCAAAGTCTAAAAGCTTTGAGAGACTCACCTCTGGTCAGATGGGTTCTCCAGAGACTCAGGACTTAAGGGAGCAGGGGAGAAAGTCAACGGCATGCAGTGTAAGCGCAAGAGGCCAGAAGGAAAGAAGGAAGGAGGGGAGGAGGGTGTTGTGAGTTCACTGGGTGACTCACAGAGGTCTGGTTTAGACCCGGAGCTGCAAAAAGCATAACTTATCGGCTCTACTACAATATCGACCATGTCAAGAGTCGATAACAACTGTTGTGTGATCGTAGGAAGTGTGTAGCTTAGCACAGATCACACCACGGCCATAAAAGGTGGTTCTCAAGGGAACCACTTGGATCAAGATGGATGATTAATGCACCAAAATGCCCTGATATCAAGCATTTTTCTTTTTTTTTTTTTTAAAGTTAGCATCAAGATTTAGCACATTCATTGTCAGAGTCCACACTGGTAAAAAGCCTGCTTTAAGTCGCCGTCCAATTATTGAAGAATTCCTTTTTTATATTTATGGCGCTGCATGCCACAGTGCAGCAGCAATTACCTTCTGTCGAGAGATGAAAGCAGTGAATGAGAAAAATTGGGAAATTGTCAAAAAATGGGGTCAACCACCATATCAGAGGAGAGTCATGGCCAGATATGATTTGTCACTGAAATAATGGTGCTTGAGCAAATCGACCTGAGCTTTCAGGTGCGGGCTGAGAGGTGAAGGGAGGCGAGATCAGAGAGCGCTGTAAATAGTAACAGAAACATTAAACCAAGGTGAGCGTTTGACATTCTGGCCTCACCCCGGCTCTTAATGGCCTCTTGAGAAATTTATTCATTTCCTTTACAAAATCAAATCATGCCGAATTGATCGGCGCACCCTCGGAGTGCTGCGCCGCGGCTCTGTTTTGCTTAGATTCACACTCATTGTGGCTCTTAGTAAATGTGACATCCATTAAACTTTTGACAGTCTGGCTCCAAGGACCACTGTCCCCTCCTGCTAAGTGAGATTGATGCCCATGGCTACACACTGCCGAGAGATCTCAACTGGAGGTCTAATCTACAAAGGGAGACAAATCTGTGATTAACATGTCACTGGCTCACTGTACGACCGACTCCGTAATTATTCACAATTACACTTAGAGATCTGGCAAAAACGAAATGACAGAGGCCCTGGCATGGACTGGAACTCTGGGCAGAAACCAGTCAGCTTAATTTGAGCTGAATTCTGCTTCGTCGCTTTGTGGGATTCTTTAACAAGAGGTTACTTACCAAGCTAATGAGCAGGAAGAAAAACCCTTAATAACTAAGTCATGACCAAGGGCTTTCCCAAGCAGCAACTCCTCAGGCACCAGAAACTAGGTTAAGGGGTATTTAGTATATCCTCCTCTTGCAGTTTTCAAGGGGTCTCATCCATTTCCCACATAACAGATAATGCCATTCAGCGTAAAGTGCATGGCAATTCGTTTTGTTTATGAACGAGTTACAACCATGCATAAAATATTACACATTCTTAGTACAGCAATTCATTTTCTCTGGAGGGGGAGGGGGGGGTTAGCACAATGCTTATCATGCACCCATTCATGCTTCCCTCTGCACTGGGGGAAATAAAAAAAGACAGGATCTAATGACACTGCAGAATGTCTTTCAAATAATGAAATCTGTCAAATGAAATTATGGATGTGGAGCTTGAATGTAAAATCTGACTTTAACGCTAAAGATGATTTCTGTGTGGAAAATATGACAGGAAACTGAATGTATTTTAATCTCTTCATTTGGGTTAACTATAAAAAAAATGGCTTCTTTGTTGCTGTTAGTTGGGCTTTGATTTGAAGCTGGGCAGACGCCCGCTCAGAAAGTCTACTTACTCTGGGATCTCATTGGTCAGTTGGCTTGAGTGAAAAGGAAAGACAGTGAAGGACATTTATATGAGACACGACATGTGTGGACAACGACAGCGGAGGTCAGACTGAAGGACAGGACAGAACAAGGATACACAGAAAGACACACACAGAAACACACACACACATACACACACACACACAGAAACAAACACACACACACACATCTGACAGAGTTCTCCGGCCAGTTGTTTCTGTGAGTGAGTTGTGTGTCTCTGTGAGAGTGTGACGATCTGCAGGCTGTGGGCCGGTTTTCACACCTCTGAGTGTTTGTGTGAAGAGCTGTGTGATGAAGATATAGAGCCATACGCTTGATGTCTTTTCAGGTTCATCACATAAACATTTTTGTTTATGCCAACCTGGAGGCGCACTCTTGCCAACCTTGTAGATGGATGGAAGAGTAAAAATGTCTCATCAGCTGCCTAAAGGGACGGGATTTGTTTTTTGTTTTTTTTGTTTTTGTTTGTTTACACCCATTTGAAAACCATTTTACACTTGCCTCATCAACATTTTCTCTTTGCAGGGTGAAAATCGCAGGCGACATGTCTAACCCCCCGGATGCCAGTTTTATGGAGAACAGTCATATATATATATATATATATTCAGAATAGGATAAAAAAGATTAATCATGCATGTGTGCTTATTGTCCGGCGTCAGTGTGAGCTAAGCAGGAGACCACGGAGTGAACTGAGCGCGCTCAGGGCGACACTGTGAGTGTTAACCGTCTTGCTAATTAGTAAAATCCTGTCAAAAGCGGAGTAGGACTGGCACAGACGGGGGGGATGAGCTATTAGCCAAGCGCCTAGTTCACCCTGAAGCCCTAGCACTGATGATATCATCAACACTGTCATCACAGCTTACCAAGGGAGGAGATGGATAGACAAGAGGGGTTATTTGGCTAATAGCTATTACAATGGAGATGTTAGATGAAGCTGAATATATGAGGATGCTCCCCTTGTCCTCTTCCTTACCTCTTTGTAACGGCGTTGTGGTACTCAATGAACGTCCGCCCGTCAAAGGCGATGGCCTCCGTCTCTCCGGCAGACTTCTCGTAGATGGCTGTGAAGAAGGGGGCAGGGGTGGGAGGGCGGTGGCGGGAAAGAGGATTGTACAGAGGATGAGATCACACCAATCAATATAAGACAGAGGGTTCAGTTATCAGAGCCGAAGGCAATGGAGTGTGAGCAAATGGGGCAGGGGGTGTGTTGGTGCGTTTGTAGTTTTAATTAACGTGAAAGGGACAGTCGGCCACACGCACAAGGTTAATGGCGAAGGCAGTGACTGAGTGTGTGAGACAGATCGGGCCGGAGTGAGTGTGTGTCTTTGGCAGAGTGACACGAAGATGATGAAAGGGGTGCGCAACTCTCGTCAAAGAGCTTTTCATGAATATTCAAGTGACACATTTCATCACTTTCATAATTGCTGCTTCAGTTTGAAAATCAATTCACAATAACCCCAACATAAAAGAGATTAACACGTCTAATATCAACGTTATTACCTTTCCTAGACAGAACAAAACCAACAAAGGCCTTCTAAGCAGAAGTAGACTGGTGGTTCACCAGCCGCTGACACACGCCAAGAACAAGCTGTGTTGCATAAAGCATCACTGATTTCAGTCCCACTCATGCATCCAAATTGCTGCCAGGTATCCTTTCAGAGTAAAACCAAATAACGTTGGACGAAGAAACAGAACAATGTGTGCACTTACAATGGCTGATTGCAATTGCACACACAGCCATTATGGCGTGATCTCAAGCCAACAAGCGCTGATCCTAACAAAGATATCTGGAGTGACAAGAGTGATCAGTAGGATGAAGACAAATGTGGACGGACGGACGGGGAAGATGGCAGCGAGATACTCACTGTTCTGACAGTGTCCCCCTGAGAAACCGTTGAGACACACGCACTCGTAGGTGTCCAGCTGGGGGCTGCAGAGGCCGCCGTTGTGGCAGGGCTCCTGAGAGCACGGGTGGTCCTGGAACATGGCTACGTCGCTGGAGCGCAGGGCGTGCTCCTCTCTGAGGACGGGTGTGCCCATCAGAACGATCTGGGAGCAGAAAACACAGTCAGCTTCCTGCTAGTTATTAATGTCTGTATGATGTCTTCTGTTGCTCTGGGTGAGTTTTACCGAGTCTGAGAACAATAACCCAGATGAGGTCATCAGGTGTTATCTCGGCTTGGGCTCGGAGACAGCACATTAACATGTGGATAGGCTGCACTGAGGCATGGAGTTTGTTAAACTGGGCATTTACTAGGCAGTGAGGGTCTAACAAAAGTGGACTGTGTGGGTGTGTATTGATCAGTGGCCTGGGAACAAAACAAGCCCACAGCTCGTTCTGATTCAAACGTTGCTAAATCCTGATTTGTGCACAGAAATAACAGAAATCAGAAACTAAAATATCCAAAGCTGTTCTGAGAAGACCGTCAGAAAACCGTCTTCATGTAAGTGTGTTCACTCACAGTAAGACTAATTGAGAAAATATACACTCCATACCCCAGTAAGGCTAACATTACGATTTTTAAGTCCCTAGAAGCTCAATTAAAATCTGTAGTTTAAAAACACCGGCTGGATTTTTCCTGTAAATCAAACCAGTGTTTCAGTCTAATCACATGAATCACTCCTCTGTGTTTATGCAGTACTCTCTAATTGTTTTTGACCTTTCTTTGGAGGGTTACCTTTCTGATTCTTGTCTTGCTTTTCCATCTCTTACTTACATTTCATTGCTTTTTGCTGTCAAACTTATCTGATTTATTTTTTCTCTCCTTAACAAAACACTTGAAGATTTTCATTATTTACCACGCTGGGTTGTTGTCATCGAGTTCTGAGGTGTTGTGTTTTCAGCCGAGTGATCATTAAAACCAATTATCACGACACATGACTAAACATCAGTGTACAGTGATACTGTAGAGTTTATTTAACATGTAATTCCTCTGAACATGAATGCCACGCTGTCGCCGCGCGGTAAAATGCCTCAGAAATGAGGTGTTGATACAACACACGCGTTAAACAGTACATCAAACTGACAGTGCATACCCATCCTACTCATAATTAACTATTCCCTACAGGCCACGTAAGACAAACGCCACATTTAGCTTTTGATTAGCTCCAAACTGTCAAGGGAAAGTTTGCAGAAGAGAACTAATGACAAGTTTGTGCAAACAGAAACATCCTGCCTTTGTTCCACTGGGTTATTTTTGGCACTCAGAGATGAGCTTTTTGCTGGAGAATGGGAAAAAAAAAAAAAACAGAAAAAAAAAAACTGGAGGGCTGTCAGGGAAAGATCTGAGAATAGTGAAATGGAGGGACTTCAATATGTGCATTCTATTATTAGTGCACGCTAATCCAAATGAGCAGAACCACTGCCCGTCACAGTGTGAGCTTATAATGGAAAATTACTAATGTGGGGGTCTGTAGTGTGACAGCTGGACAGCTAATAACTTACGGTTCGACTTCGCTACAGAGTCATTAAAATAACACACTGTATTTACATTATCCGAATCCATAAGCAAGAGCGACGGACACAGCAGCCCATCAAGAAATAGAGGCTTGTAAACATTTACCTTTTGGATTGTTCCCTTGAAGCCGTCTGTGAGAGCGGCCACTCTTGCCAGTCGGCTGTAATCAGGAGCTCCACCAACGAAAAGAGACTCTTTCAGGTTAAGATCTACGTGCAGATTCTGATGAGACAGGGACATAAAGAGTTTTCAGCTGGTAAGCTCAAGCCGTGCAATCTCAAAGATAAAAATAAATATATAAAGCTCCACATACTTTATATCTTTCAGAACGCCAATTTAATCTTTTCCATATCCCATCTGCAGTTTCTCTCAGGGCTTTTCTATTCAGCACGTAATGGCTTTACTTTAGTAAGTGGACTTATCTGTTTGTGTCCGGGGAGCCTGAAATAAGTTGTATCCTTTGCAGACATGTCACAGTCATATAGATTGTCACATTAAAAGAAAAAGGATTTATCCATATTGTAGCCAGCAGACGCTTTAACTGCACTTCCTTGCCTTTTTTCCTTGTCAATACACTTGATACATTACAACATAATTGATTCTATGTCTCTCAGAGAGAGTGGTCAATTATCCTCTATCTGTGAGACATAAAAAAAGGACTAGAATGGGAAATCAGGGGCAGGCTGGACTTGAGATATGGATGGTTCTTTACGGACATTCCTTATTACCGGCTGATTATAAGCACCGACCTTTCAAACACTTGAGTGTGGAGACACATTAATTGCAATTCATTTGCGCGACAGACAACTATGAAATTCGATTCTCTCCTCCAAACCTTTGGGACAATTGCTTTGTATTAGCAAGGTGCCACTTCCTCCTTCTGCATGGAGGAGCCTGGCCCACTTCAGAAGGAAGGAATTAATGATCTTTATTTTATGTAGGGCAGTAATTGCCAGAGGGGTAAAGTGGAGTTAATTGCTGGAAAAATGATGGAAGGGGCCAAATAAACAGGCTTTGTGCAGGCAAGCTGGCGCCGGCTGGGCTTTTATTTAGGATTGGATTTGGAGAGCAGGAGGCAGTGGTGCTTGGCTGAAGCCCGGGGGCTGTGTCACTGCACCTTGAAATGCTTCCAACAGAGACAGGGTGGGGACCTTGGCCAAAGCTGCTGGACACAGCTGTGGCTGGTGCCTCTCGGCTCAGCGAAAAGTTGTCACCAACTGCGGGGCAGAGTTGGCCACCTCAGGCTCTTTGTGTAGACCTTTACTGCTCGGCAACACTCGCTTACTCTGACGCAGATGCAAACTGAGCTTTGTCTCCAAGAGTTTTCTACCTTGTTTAAGACCTTTTATTGTGCGATTGAGCACGGTCTACCTCTGCGTAGTTACTTTCTCTACGGCTCTAAAGTGAGATGTCATGCAATGAAATGGTGCATCATGTTCTGATTTGTAGGTAATAATCTGCACCTGGTGAAAGGAGACAGCTGGTTCCATGGAGTGATTCTTACTCGGTGATGTTTGTGTTATGTGGTGAGTGAGTGGGTGAAAGAGTGAGCGACTTTTATGATATTATGGAGAATCATTCCTGTTTGCAAAAAAGAAGAGAGAGCAGATGACAAAAAGAACAGCCCAGCTTGGCTTGGCACCTCACCGTCTCCTACGATGTATTTCTTCCCCTTCGCTCGCCTCCCGTCTTCGCTCTCACTTTTTCCCACAGCCACGCGGCACTGGCGTGCTATGTCCGCCTACACCGGACTAATGAAGACGTTTCTTTGTTGCTAAAAACAATGGCCATCACAAAGATGACTGCCTTCTTTCCTTCTTCCCTCCCACCTTCCCACCCTCCTTCCACCCCCACAGCAGATGGACCGAGGTGAAAGCCAAACCGTGTTCTTTAAGAGCATCTCTACTTCGGTGCTGTGTGCGTGCGTATGGTGTTTATGAAATGGCAAAGTTTTTCTACAGAACTGGCACCTTTAAAGCTGCCCGCTGCTCTGCAGAAGTACCTTCTTTTTTTTTCTTTTTTTTTCTGTGCTGTTGTGTATGGAGAGAGATGGGGGTGAGAGGACACAGTGAACGACTCAAATGAAAAATGGGCTAAGGTGTGACTGGGACTTGTCTCATTACCTTGCGTGATTTCTTATTTCCAGACAGCACATCATAGAGAAGGAAAGAAAATAGGGAGGAAGAGAGTTATTAGGGGAAGACTAGTAAGTGTCTGTGCAGAGAAAGGCATGCGGAGCTACAGTAGGCAAGTGCAAAAGCCCATGAAACACGCACCCACCCACACACACACACACACACACACCCTCATGTACACATACATACACACCGGGCACATCTGTAAGAGCATTAAACATAGCTGCAGTGTGTGAGATAAGTACATTAAATAAGAATACAATAAAAGTGAAGAGCCCGCTTTCCTGCGCATGCACCTTTTGTATTACTGAACGTACACATACACATACACCCACAAAGCCGTGTGCAAGTGTGTGTTTACACTTAAAGAGAGAGTGAATGCAAATAAGACACCCAGTCTGAGAAGGCCATGCATGAAGCAGATGGTGCCATTAAGAAAAGATCTCCAAACTTCATGGATGAAAGACTGTGAATAGTGCCACTTAACCCAACCTCATTTACAGACTGCTGCCACTCAGCGAGAGGTGAAGTCAGGCTTTTTTTTAAATTATTTATTTTATTTCTCCTATCCGCACCTACGCGCCTTTGAAAATATGTACTTCATCATGCCGGCAGCCCGAGCCATCTTTGATATGATGAACACTCCCGGCATGCAATATGTATCCATAAGTGCGCGTGTGCGACCACCTTTGATGTGATGCGGGGCTTTCTCTGAGCAAAGCGTTCTGTAACTCCCTCCTCGTTCTTAAAGCCGGAGTAGGAGAGAATTAGCTGAGAGCCACACTCGATGGGGGTCTCTGCATTGAGCTCCATAACTAGTCTCGGCTCATCCCTTGCGTCCCCTCCGTCCCCCCCCCCGAACCCCCAGCCCCTCCTCCCTCCATGCTTTCGCCTTGGTCTTCTCTTTTAATAAGATTTTCTGCCTGTGTTGCTGGAGTAAAACACAATTACCATACGGACGATGGGAGGCAGTGGGGGAAGGACAGAGCAGTGAGAGGGAAAAAAAAAAAAAAAGTAGGAGAGCATTGCGTCTTAGAGGACGATGATGGAGTTGACAGAGTGCATGTTCATAATCACAAATTACACTGTTTAATATAATTGGATGACTTACAGGCTTATCAGACTATTAGATCGCCTTCATTTGGAAGCATGTACCTGCTTTATTGGTCCAGACGCGGGCCTGAAGAGTTTCATTACGCTATTCTTGCTGCTGCTATCTCCTTTATCTGCCTCTGTCTCCCCAGACGCCACCTCAAAGGCTGAATTCATAAAATTGACTGTACATCATCAGTAAAAGCTGCTTTTCCTTCCTGTGCGCAACAGCAAATTTTATCTCCAGCACCGCAGCGAGCTGAAAGGCTGAAAGTTTCTTCTTCTTCTTCTTCTTCTTCTCCTCTATTTCATGTTTTTAAAGTGGAATTACAGGACTTCTAAAATTAAGACAGCTTGTCAAACTGGGCCTCTCCATCTGGAGCGCTCCCTCTTACCTTGATGGATGTCGGGAGATAGTGGCATATTTTCAGCAAATCAAACCGCATGGTGTGAAGCGGTGTGGAAAAAAAAAACCTCAGGAAAGGGAGGGAAAGTTTGCAGAGTCAACTGTGCCTGAAGCGGGCGAGCTGAAGCGCTTCAACACGGGGAGAAAACAGAGCACTAACGCCCGAGGCCGTGGCGATAAAGAGCACGGAGACGATCAAACCAATACAGGATTATACAACACAAGCAAGGCTAAGCACAGCAGGCAAAGGCCCATCAGTCCTGCATACCAAAAAAAACAAAACAAAACAAGATAACCATTTGTTAGCTTGCTCGCTCTTACCGGTGCCTCCCCTCGGACGGGGTTCTTCTTGTTCACCATGATCTCTCCTTTGCGGTTTGAGCGCTCCAAGTTGATGGTGTTCCACACGTTGAGCTGGATTGGTTCTTTACTCCTGTATCACAAACAGTCATAGTAAAAAATTGTGTCTCTATTTATGTTTGTTTTTTTAAAAAGCCTTGACTGCGATAGCCGCAGTGAGAGAGAGAGAGAGAGAAGAAATCCCTCCCTGGTTGTTTTAACTTGAACCCTCATAGACGTGCTCACCTGATGGTGGCAGGACCTTTGCCCAGGTCGTAGCGGAACTCCAGGATCCCGTTGTTGAGGGACAGAGAGATGAAGTCTCCTTTTCCGTCCGATTTTTGGCCATTGTAGAAGATCAAACCGTTGGAGTCGTTGGCCATGAGGACCACGGTCATGCTCAGCTTTTGACTGCAGTCGTAGCAAAAGAAAAAAGAGCCGGAGATACATTGGTACGCACGCCCACGACAAAACAAGGGACGCATATACGCTTGCTTTTGGTGCATGGTACTCCTTCTATATGGAAATTGGGTAGAGATACTATATATTCTACATGCTAAGGCCTAGATAAGGCGTTATTTGTGTAACCCTCATTGTCAATTCAGTTCAGGCTTACAGAAGGAGTGCTGCCTTGGGCGCAGAACGAGCTCTATGAAAACTACATGATATCCAGTGTTTGGTAATACACACCGCACACGACACGACTGTGTGGGTGTCATGCCGAGACACGGGACTTACCGCAGATCGTGCCCATAGAGATGGAGCCCCTTCAGCTCCAGGTAAGAGTCTCCGTTGAATAATGGCATGTAAGCCCCTCTCCTCTCAGCCACTGGAAAAAACAAAGAGAATGTATTCATCCTCAGGTCCCGTTTTTGTTGCTGACAGAATTGAAATTCAGGGATAGTCAGTACATCTTTGAGGGACCTGTCAGCATTATGGAAAGAGATGGATTTGTGTTTTCATAGCCTTTGGGATTAAGTCTTTCTCTTGACAGATATTCAACAAAAAAATTCAAAAACCCTTATGCCAGACTGATTACACAGCCCGCCACAGTTTAACAAAGGACCTTTGGAGACATGTAGAGTTTAACACCACAGCCGGGACTCATGAAATAATGCAGCCATTGTATTTTGGCAGGCCTTTTTACAAATTCATGTCTTTGTAACGGGTCTACGTCTGGTTGTCCCGTTTCTGGCTGTCTGGAGTGATTAGGACAGGCACTGTGCCATCCCTCTAACAAGTGGCTTGACATTAAAAATCACTCAAGTGTCAGCCAGGGGTACGTGGTGTTTATGATGCTGTTTGCAGAAACGACCATCATTCAGAGGCATGTGCAGCACTAGATGCTCGCATGCACACACACACACACACACACACATACAAACTAACACACACATATACACACACACACATACAAACTAACACACATACCTATGTAGCCAGCAATAAAGCTTTTATTTGTAATTGGCTGGGATTAGCTGAGTCGAGTAAGGATGGAGAAGGCAGACGGAGATGAGAAAGCTAATTAGCTATTGTGCAGAAGACTGCTAATGATGATGGCATGCAACATGGAGGAGGAGAGGAAAAAATAGTCCTGCACGCACACACGCACACACACACACACACACACACACACACACACACACACACACACACACACACACACACAAGAAACTGTGCACTGAACTATAAGAGTAACAGAGCCGCTCAGAAAGTAGTTTCTCATAGAGGAGTGTGGAGAGAGGGGGGGGGGGGGGGCTTTCTCTGCTTCACCCTGCGCTCAAAATAATGGCGTGGTGATCAATAAGTCACCAGAGGTCCGCGCATTTGAAACAGCTGAGTGACCAGGAACATTCACATGACTATGAGGGAGTCGATGTTGGGGAAAAGTTGAACTTTCTACAGTCGTGCTCAAACAAGACGGAAATAAAAATCTCAAAAGCAATACTCACGGAGCCGTTGCATCTATTTTGCTGAGGTCGATAGTAAGCTCTGAGGTAATTTTGTTTTTATACGAGCAATCTTACCTAATTAGTACTTCCTATAAAATGCATTAAAACAAAACGAAATAAGGAAAGACGATAACAAAGCGACTGAAATGAACATTTAGCCGGTTAAAAACTTTGTAGCTGCAATCAAAGCTCCTGGACCTGCCCGTAATCAATTAGCTCTTCAATAGAGTTGCTTGAACTGTGAATCAGAGACACACACACACACACACAGTTTCTCTCTCACACACACACAAACATTAGCTGGTCGGTGCTGAATGCAAAACACTGCTGAAATTCAAACTCTCCCCTGCAGTTAGTTTTTCAAGGACTGGCTGAGTCCAAGTGATCTTGCTTTCATCACTAAATTGTAATGATTTACACTATCACAGGGTAAAAGCACAGAGGAAAGTAGGCCATTCAATACTATTGGAACACCATTGAGAAAAGTCCTTGATGATGAATATTATAGCAGTGAGCTGCACTGATGAACCCTGGCGGAACTGAAATGGAAACCACAGTTCAGCTGAACACATGCCTTCGCGCTCCTATACACACCCTTTATATTACGACTAATTCACCTTGAGGCTTCTGATGAGTGGGCTCTGAGCTACCTGTCTTTGTAACTGTTCTCAGTGCAGCCCTCAGAGGATACGGCCGCCTGGTTGCCACCTTATCTCCGAGCTCCTGTCTGGCGCTGACACTCTGTCTGACTGACGCTCTCATTAATCACCACGGGCGGGGAGGACTGATGTGATTAGTCATCTCATTGATTCCTGTGGAAAAAAATACCCTTTGGAATGGGAGATGCTCTTGCTCACACAGCATTGATTTTGGTTCACCTCAGTTTGCTTTCATCACCTGCTAACTGGGACTTGGGGCTAATGGGAGGCTATTCCCACCTGGTTTTCCAAATTCCCAGGTGTACAAAGGTGCGCATCTCTCTTTTCTTAGGAATGCGCATAATAGTATATTCTCTTTCATTCAGAGTTGCAAGTAGTCAACTTCTGCAAACATTCATGACAACATCTACAAAGGCAGGGAGGGAAGAAACACGGGTAGACTTCAGAATGTGACACCGCCAAAAGTGCTAATGATGAACTTCAAAAGCAGCCGAGCTGTGCTCTGGTCTTTTCCCCAGCCGTGGCCCGGTTCTGCCATGTTTGTATCCAAGAAGCAACAAACATGTTTGAACACAACACCTGTGGGCGGAAAGACAGGGAGGGAGGTGGTGGAGGAAGGCTGCAGCCTCGCTGCCGCTTACCCGCTAACAAGCGCAGCTGAGTCAATGTGGCGAATGGCCCGACGGGGCCAATCATCTACCTCACTTGTGCACGCAGCCCACCGACTCCCCCTCCCACCCTGAAGGCACAACCCCCCCCCCACCCCCACCGCCGCAACCCGCCCACCCCCCATCCCCCACTCTCTCTGTTTGATCTCCATTTTCGATCCAGGATGGATGGAAATGTCACAGAGCGGAAAGAAAAGGGGAGGAAGAGAGGCTAAAAGGAGGAAGTTGGTACTCCAGCTGACTGCAAACCAAAACACTGGTGCTCCTTGATAAGCAGCGGAGAGAACAATTGAGGCATGAAGTGATGGGAGTTACAGCAGGATAAATAATCTTTAGTCAGGTACCTCTTTCGCAGTGCTTCCCTTCACGTCCCATGGGACACTCGCATTTGTAGCCTCCCTCCGGCAGCACCTGGCACTGGGAGGATGGGTGGCACCTGTTGGGCTCGCATGGGTCATGGACATCAGCACAAGTTGGACCTGGACACACACACACACACACAAATCCATCATGAGTAAACACCTAATGAAACTCACAACAACCGCCAACGTTTTCAACCACTTTTTCTTTTCTTCCATCTGAGAGAATGTGAGGGGGGATGAGGATTTCCTCTGTAATAGAGGTCGTTTTCTAATAGGATTTGAAAATATTACACATCCAGATTAAACAGTGGAGAGCCTCCCCGCCATGCGGCCATATTTTTGGGCCAATAGCGACTGCGGGAAAGGCTCTCGAGCGTCTGGTGGATGATGGTTTTGCCCTCTGCCACAGGCCATCTGAATTCACCCGTCATTACTTAAACAGTCAGAGCCTGTGGTGAGGAGAGCACTTTAATGAACCCCATCCCCGCTGAGCTCACAGGGCTCCCCTGTTTTTGCCTCACTCACGCTTTTGGAAGCTGTCTTTTATTCTCCGCTCTCACTTCTTCCCAACCACAACTCTCTTCCTTTTTTTTTTTTTCATATCACTTCCTCCTCTCCCATCTTTTTAGCTCTAATACTCTCTCGCCTCCCTCATTCATCTGGCTGTCCTGACATGTCCTCCCTCCAACTACAACTCTCTCCACCCATTTATTCTCTCCTCTTTCTTTTCTTTCCGTGATCTGTCCCTCCCTTCGAGATCCCGGCAATCTTGGCCATTCTCTAAATTGACATGATGACAAAATTAACTTGAATGCGAGTCCGCAGGCAATGGTCCAAATCTCATTATCACCATCCATTTGCCAACACAACTTTGATCACAGCAATGCGTCTTCATAGCACAGGGTTATTTTTACTTCTCAGGCTCCTCAATAACAAAAAAAACATAAAAACAGCACCTATATTAAAGGTAATAATAATGTGAGGTGATACTTCACTCATCCACATTCTGACTTCAAGGTAAATTGCTCTTTTAGGGAAAATAGGTTCTCTAACCACTGACATGCCTCCGTGTCACTATAAAATCCTCTTCTATTCAAGCATAAAAGTTAACTCTGACAATTAATTTGGTTCTGGTGTGAAACTTTCTGCGGTAGGCTTCAGTGCGACCAGCGAGGGGCAACGCTTGGTTAGGCCCTGATGGTGTCTGGTCTTAACTATTTTCTCTGAGAGTTGCTTGTTAGTCGGCGTCAGCTGGAGGGAGAAGAGGAGGAGGAAGGGATGTGGAAGTAGAGATAGGCTAAAGGCCAATCACTGAGCGTGTTGTGGAAGTTTCCACGTTTTCTGTTCTACTTCAACATTTAATCTCTCATTTTCTGCATTGGACACTCGGATATGATGGTGTTGGTGTTTACAAAATGTCTCCCGGCGCTCCTGCTGGGGGCATGAGTTACACTGTCAAATTAGCCTGTCAAGCTTACTTAGGATTTGTGAGTAAGTCATGACCGCAGTGAATCCCTGGAGAGAAAGCAAGGCAAGAGATATAAACATAATTTTAACGACAAGGTGTTAGAAAAGTCGGAAAATTACACATGAATAAAACATATTTTCTACTTATTTCCCTGCACACACACTGGAATAAACTTGTCAGGATTCCATGACTGTGAAGAAATCTCAGTATGACACTGGGAAAACTGCTCGACTACACCTCTGCAGAGTCGGCATCTTACCCCAGAATCCCTTGCTGCACTTGCAGTGGAACATCTCGGCCTCCTTGACCTGGCACGCGGCGCCGTTCTTACAGGGGTTCGGCAGGCAGGGGTTGTTGCCGCATTCACCCACGCCACTGCCGTACAGACTGTCGCCCCCGTTCTCTTGCAAGTTGAGCACCCGGTTGTTGACGTCCAGCAAGCGGATGCAGCCCACCAGACCTGTGGCCACCGCTGTCCTTTCCATTACGCTGAGGAGGAAAAGGAAAACGGGTACGAATGAGAGACACAGTTATTATTAACATATTTACCTCCTGAATCCACCTCTGTACTTTTCCTCTTATTTACCTCAGTCTACGTCCTTCTAGCCTCTGATTGGTTAGTTAAACAACATGTGACGTAGAGACAGGAAGTGTTATTGTGGAGAAAAAGTAAGTGAATCTTTATCCATCCGTCCGTTTCTTTTAACAAGAGTGATTCAAAGCGACACGTATCGCAGCCTCACGTTACATTACTATAAACACCTGAGACAGATGTTGCTACATCTGGTCCGTGCTCACCTGTGATTACTTACAGTATACTGATGTGGCTCTTTTTGAACAGTGAAATGAAATCCTAAAACAAGTGCCATGTAAGCGAGGCTGGATTACCAACCATACTCATTAACTACAGATTTATGTGTGAACATGCATTAGAGACAAGTGCGTGTTCACAGACAAGTTTTTATTGCATGTACATCAGCTGAAATGATAAGAGTCTTCAGTAGCTGTCTATTCCATCTGTTCTTAAATGTCAAAATATAAATAAACTTGTATTTAGCCAAATTACAGCAAACTTGGGGTTAATAGGGGCCCACAGCTAATTTCTTCCAGAGGCCCCCGACAGATTTACAAGGACATTAGATAACTCCATAGTAAAAAACAAGCCGTGGATGAAAATGTGGAATCAAATAGGTGCTGTGTGGAGTTAGTGGAATACTGGACTCAATATTAAAATTTGAAGACTAGAAACCACAGCTGATGGATTTTCAGGTAATTTATTTCCTGCCCAGATTCTTATAATAATGGTGTGCAAGTGTAAGAAAAGAAGGTCTTACTCCTGCTTCATATCCTCCAGCACTCCTCCGATGAAGAGGTTGGTGTCGAGGTTCAGGCCGTCTGTGCCGCGTGGACTCTGGCCCTCGATGTGCGGCTCGTTGTCCACGCTGAGCATGGCGTTCCGGCGATTGCGAGTCACCACCAGCTGATGCCAGCGGCCCTGATTGATCTGCACTTTGCTGATCAGTGTTCCTGTGCCGGAGCCCGTGTTGAACCTGAGAACACGGGGATAACAAAACGTGTTACATCTAATGGTCACTTAACACACAACTGCTTCCACACTTTATTACTGAGCACCACCTGAAGAGTAGATCTGCTCATATTGCTCAACAGAAAGGTACAAGACAGAGTGCAAGACTTTGGGATTCAAAACTATGAGACCAGAATGAGGCAGTTACTCACTTAAAAAATGTCTTTCACGCCCTCTTTTTAATTCAACCTTTTATCTAATGGGATTTGTTCAGAAAAAGGCCATATCATCACAGAAAAGAGCTGTTGTGTATGTGCACCCACACATATGGTAGTATTAGCACAACCTGAGAGCAATTATCTGCCACAAATAATTAGTTCTTCTCCCCACGTCTTGGATTTGCAGAGCTGTGGGTGGTAATCTCACAGCTGTATTTCTGGAATTGAGGCAGAGCTCCATTTGAAAGCACAAGTGACTAATGATCTCCTTTAGGTTGCTATTGATTTTACTCTGAATAGAGAAATCTAACGTGGCCAGGTTGGGGAGTAACTGAGAGGATTTCGAGGAGGTCAGGGGGAAACACGAGACCCAAAAGATAAAGAAAGTGCGTGGTGCATAAAATAATAGTTCCCAAACAGACGCAGTGCAGAATCTCTAATTACTTCATTCAGACTCCTTGTGAAGACGCCGTATTTCCCAGGATGATTTTTTATTCATGCGATTCTGCTGTCATGAATGAGCTGAATATTTATTGCTTCTGCAGGTTTCTGGCAGGAAAATTGTCTAATTTCAACAGATTCAACAGATGAAACTTTTGGTTGCTGTAAGCTTGAGCCCCAAAATGATACGGTCCTTAACCCCCCCCACCCCACAAAAAACATTGTTCAAATCCTGTTACACATCTTCAACGGGCATGACATCAATTTTACATATCAGCATCAACTTACTCGTCATGAGGAATGATACTTGGCCTGGTTTCAGAGCTACAAATCTTTAACAGAAAACCTCGAGTCACGACGGAGAGTAAAAGATTTGTGGGTATTTACCTCGTTGAAATTAAAGACTTGAATTGAATATTCATCACAATTTTGCCAAAATCCAAGATATGACATCTGTGACATGATTCACCGTATTCAGTTTTAAATATTTAAAAAGGGGGTATTTGTGAGTTTTCTCCGTTGTCGAACGTGGTTTCTTGCTGGGAGCGGGTGAGTGGGTGACTGTCACTTGAAAATAGCTTCAGCCATTGTTGTCTTTATAATACAAGAGATTATAATACAGCCAGGTTAAAATAACCTTTTATAGAACATATAATGGTTTATAATAGCTGGTTACCATGCTGACATCAGGAGAAAAAAGACATGATGAAAAGATGAGTTTCTTTCCACCTCTGGAGACACCTGTTTCTGAGTAAAAGAATGAAGTTTGATGCTGAACTCAACAACTTTCCAACTAGAATGGTGAGTAAACAGCTGTTAATGCTAACTTTAGCTATGTAGCAATAGCAAAACTTACAAATAGCTCCTTAAAATATTTATCAAACAAGGTGCTTCTCATCAGTCCCGACTTGCAGTGTCAGTATTATCTCTTTACTTACTATATGCTATTTCTGTCCGTGTACAACAACGGACAGTCTAATGCATCTATGAGTCATTTCTGGATGCATTTCTATACGTCTTTGCTTCCATCTGTGAATACAAACATCACATTTGTACATCCAGGCCTAATTCTATATATATATATATATATATATATATATATATATAAAATATATATATGTATATACACACGTGATTAAAAATAATATGAAATGCCAAATTCAGACCTCCTGCACATACTTCTGTGCATACGTTTGCACCATCTGCAATTGTGATTATGTGAACAGCTTATTTGTAATTGTGGACATATTTCTGAAAGCATGGCGTCAAAGCCTTAACCTGCAAATCTGTCAAAATGCTTCTGTATCTTTATTTATTTCTTGGCAGTGTTGTTTTCAACATGTTTACTCGCTGTAATTATTTGCCTCATTATCTCGGGCGCTCTCTCTATTTGTTTTATTCTTATCTACATCCTCTCTCAGCTGCTGCCGTTATGACCCCGTTTCCTCACGGGGATCATTAAAGTTTCATCGCATTTAATCAAACAAAAAGCAGCAGTTATCAGTAGCCGACAAAGGAGGCTGCCACTCTTCAGTCAGCCCGCACTCACCTGAGCTCCACCCTGCCGTTGACCAGAGCCAGAGAGATGAAGTCCTTCTTGCCTTCTTGGCCGTTGTAGAGCAGGATGCCGGTCATCTCGGACGCTCTGAACTCCATGGCGATGCGGACAGTGTGGTAGGCGCTCATGGTTTGGAAGGCCAAGTAGGACTGGCCTCCAAATGACGGGATGTAGTACTTGATCGCTGTGGAGGAATGAAGACAACCAGCCAATACTGTCATTATTATGTGATTTGCTTTATCGTGGCATAATAGGCATTTAATGTGCATAATTAAGGGTGAGCGTTGGTGGTGTGTCACTGGCTCGTGATGACAAATAAATAAGCCTCTCCATCGGTTTATTTTAAGAATGATGTTTTTTTTCCCAAAGTGCCTGATGAAACACAGCATCAAAAGAAAAAGGCTGAGAGAGAGGAGAAGCTGGGCTTTTCACCCTTTCTCAAGTCGCACACAATCACACACTCATGCACACACGCGCACGCAAGAAACCTTTGTTTTCTTGCTACTTGACAATTATGATTATTATCATCCATTTTCTCCCCCCTGGGCTTCTGTTCTCTCCGTCCATCTGTCTTTCTGTCCGTCTCTCCGAGGAGAATGGCAGCTGATGAGCTCCCTCTTTTTCTAATGACTTGATTGATCTGGGGGAGGTTTTGCTTGTGTGTGTGTGTGTGTGTGTGTGTGTGTGTGTGTGTGTGTGTGTGTGTGTGGGTGTGTGTGGGTAGGTGTGTATGCGTATGTGTGACTTCATTTAGCCACTCTAACTCAAAAACACACTGATTCTCACCAGCTAATCCCCATCAAAGCAATTAGTGTCAATTATCTTAAGATGCAGCTGCGTGAACTTGCCCCCCCCCCCCCCCACAAAAAAAAAAAAAAAAAAAAAAAATCCCAAAGTAGGGTAAGAGGGAAGAAACAAAAGAATTGTGCTTCTCAAGCAGCTGCTTGATTTCTGATTTTCTCTGTGGTGCTGATTGGGTTCTGAGTTGCCTTCAGTGAACGGCTCAGCGGTTGCTGACTTCTGAGGTGCTGAACCCGTGTGAATCTCTTCAGGTGGGTTTGAACTGCAGCCACTACTCAAATCTTCGTTTTCAAATTTTCCAATAAAATAAAATAAATAAATAAATAAAAATCTGGTATAATAGACCTGTGTCCTAGGGTCTGCATTCTGTTGCCTTGTTGAGCTTCAAATAATCCAATAAATCCACATCGGTGTCCTCAGAACACTAAGTGAAAGTCATTACGCACACAGCTACTTAAGGTCTCACAGTGCAGCCACTTTGTGAACCTACAATTACACAAAACTACTTGCTTAACAAAAGAAATATAGTTCATTAATATTTTTCTTTGTAATGTTTCTCTTTAATGTTTGATTTTTGTATTATAATAGTATGTGTCTGCTACTTTATAAATGTATCAAAGCACTTGAGGATGTGGTTAACAGTGATTATAGCATAGCTAAAAGGCATGGTTGGCACAATGGAAAGTAGTGTGCCTAAAACCCTCTTAGTTGCTGCATAATCACTGTGGCTTCTTTGAAAATGCAAATTCCAATTGTAGCAAATTGCAGGTGAAGTCTGTTCCAGCTCATTTTATTAGATGGGTTTGAAATAAGCTTAAACTTTGAAACTTTTGATTTTAAGGTTATGACAAATATTGTAGAAGTAAAAAAAAAAAAAAAGAAAAGTTCCCGCTCACCCTTCTCACACACGGAGCCTCCTCGGCCGGCGGGACACTTGCAGCTGAAGTCGTTACCGTCGTCCTCGCAGGTGCCCCCGTGGAGGCAGGGGTGGGAGTCGCATGGCTTCTGGGCCTTGTGAGGAAGCTTACTCTTGACATGTGCGACGGTGGTAGCGGGAAACGGCGTGGTCGTGGTGATAGCTGGCGTGGTGGTGTGGAGGAGTGGTGTGGTAACCGGTGCTGAGGTTGTGGTGGTGCGTCTGATGGGCCTGCGGGTAGGGCGACGGGTGAAGAAGGGGGTGGTTGTTGTCGGAGGCCTGGTGGTGGTGCTGGTGGCGGCGGCGGTGGTGGTTGTGGTGGTGGTGGTGGGGGCAGCTGTGGTGACAGATGCCGTGGTGGTGGTGGTAGTGGTGGTGAAGAAGGGGATGGAGGAGAGTCCTGTCAACAGAGCTGGAGAGAACAAAGGAAATTAGAAGAAGAAAAAGAGACATTAAAGTGTGTTGAGCCTGCAGTCCTGAGATTTCCTATTCAAGACCCTTAAAACCTTTGATAAATCACCTCATGAATAACTTAAAACCCCTTTTCATTTTATTAATCCCCGCACACTCCTGTTAAGTCCACACAGTATTACCATAATTGGTGAAGCGAATATTCTCGTCCTCCGGCTTCTTCACGGCGATGCTGGTCTCTTTGGAGGCCTTCAGCTGTTTCAGCAGGGCTCCTTCGATGTCCTCCACCGTGTATCTTGTATCTACAATAAACAAGAGGTAAAACCACTTAGGACAAGGCCTCTGAGGAGCACTCCGAAGCAAATACAGGACTCGAGCTTCCTTAGTGATACACTGGATATATCAGAAAGGCCTGTGTATGACAGGTGGAGGGTCTCCGGGGACCACTTGTCCTCCACCCATCGCTTGTCTGGCTTTGTTCCAGATGGATTGCTCTCATAACGGTAGCTGCAGATGTTCGCTTTACTGGCCATGGAGGAGCACTGCTTAACAGCACCCGTTGCCCAATATGAAGGGTATGAAGGACGCTAAACGACACTCATAAAAATATAAAAATAAAAAATAAAAAGCCAAGGAGGCGCGGCTGGGGTTTTGTGTGGTTTTTGTTGTATAAAACGAGATTTGTAAAGACAAAGTTGTGGCGTATCAATCGCTAAATCATTATGATTACGAGACATTGTCTTAATAATGAGAAATCAGCACTTTGTAAGTGTGGCAATTTGTCATCATTGAAAATACAAGCCTGTGATTACACCATCAGTGAGGTACAGTAAACAAACCTTTAACAGATCAAGAAAACATCAGTAATTCGGTAACAGCAGGTTCTGTTCCTGTTTCTTTTTTTTTCTAATCATCACAAATCGTACTGTCAACTTGTACAGCAGATGCTACGCACCAGCCAACAATCTCACCGGCATTCTGGGTAACTTTTTCTGGCTCTGATGAATTTCAAATAGAAATCTGAACATCCATGCAGAGGTAAAAACCATCTTTTTTTTCTTTTTTTTTTTAACATTGAGGCAAATTGTTGCAAAGCAGTGATTTAGTTGACACTGAGAAGAAAATTAAAAAAGAGAAAAAGATGAGGAGAAACATTCAATGCCTCCCAATATCATGAGGCAAATAAAAAATGATAAGGAAACACTCAGACGGCATGTGTCTGTGCTAAGGATGCTCAATACTCAACAGCAATAAAGTTTGTTATTTCATTAACCTGCATCCAGATCTGCACTAGAAAACACACAGCTACAGAAAAAAAAATCATAATAATTTTAGAGAACCCTTCAATCGCAGTCATGTTTTACACAAGGATGAACAGAGCAACATTTCAAGTGAGTGTAGACGCTGAGTTACTGTCATTTAAATCAAAGCGTTGTGGCTGCTGAACCATCTACTGTTCGGGCAAAATGGCATTTAAGCTTGCAGGATTACTCAAGAGTGGTTACATGCAGCTACAGTTTGGTTGCTATCGCACAAACACCTTCAAGAAGAATGAGAATTTATGTCAAATAGGCCACAGATACGAGAATTAAATAAAAGATTACTGAACTCCACACAAGCTGATCTGGGCTCCACCTTACCTGCAGTCCAAGAGTCAAGAGTGAAATTGTAAAGTGCTTTAAAAATAGCAATATAATGACTTATTCTGCACTGAAAAACTAATTAAGACTTCCTTGGCCAATGGCCTAACTTTTATCCCAGTTCCATTTAATTCCCCTGAGTGATTTTTCAGATTATCTTGCTGAAGAGACAAAGGGGGACAAAACATAAGTGATTCCAAGCACATACAGTGTATTTCTCTGTCGGCTACTTTATGTTCATTCATATTTATTTATTTATTTTTTGCTCACTTCAAAGATCTCTCACCTGGTTTGAAGTGAGCCTCCACGAAGGCCAGGATGGAGTTGCTGGGTGCCAGGTTACGGACACGAACGCTCATAAAGTCTTTGTGTACCTCCGACTTCCTGAACAACTCATTGAGCTGAAGGGGAGAGGGAGGGAGGGAGAGAGAGAGAGAGAGAGAGAGAAGGAGAGTGGGAGGAGAGAACAGACAAGAGAGAAGAGATGATAAATGAGGCTGGTAATGAGCTCCATGCTATCATAGCAGCGAGTCCAATACTGGAAGACTGTACTCTGTCTCCAAGGAAGAAAGACTGCCTCTCAAATTGGGGTGCGGAGAAGAAACCTATTGGGTGTGGGTGCACAAATTGACATTTAGCTGCAGCCGTGGCATTAATTACAGGAACAAGTTTTCGGGAGGAGCTAAGATAAATGTCGTGCCACCCTGACATGTGCTCCTGATTGGTTTTGCTTCCGATGCCCCCGCTGTGTGCATGTTGTAACTAGCCGGAGGAGCTCTGTAAGGAGGTTCGACGAAAATGTTCCTTCAGGCCAATAATGACATTACAGCAGTTAAGACTGTTGCCTTTAGCCAAACAAAACTGGGCCAATATTTTATCTGAAAATTGGACCATTTTCATGCTAGAACTTACACCAGCACACACACAATTCTGTCATTGTCATCATGGCGGTGGATTAATCACATTCACACTCAGTGTTTCGTTCTCATCTCAGCTGCTGGTTAAAGTCACGAGGCCTGGTAACTTCACCGGAGCATCCTCTCAGGCTCATTGTTCCCACTAAGTGTTCTTCCACACTCCCCGTCTGCATTTTCCTACAGCCAGTCTCCAGACAGAATTATTTAAGAGACACATTCAGCTGGAACTCTTTCTGACTTGTGGTGGAAATTACAAATAACGTCGCCCGTGCTTTTCGGCCAAAACATCCCATCTATCATGTTTTATAGACACTAGTGGGGGAGAACGCAGATGCTAAAAAAAAAAAAAAAGCTGCTGATTCCGTTAGTGACACTGATGACTCAGTGCACGAGGTTCAACCGGAGGATTCGGTGTTAAAGATTATTTCCTCCATGTACTGAATGCCTCTAATTTGTGGGCTGGAGTGTGACAGCAAAGTAGACAGGTCAAATATAAAATCCTCCAAAGCTGGCTTAGGGATGGAAATGGTAGTGGACAAACTCCTCTGTGGACACACTGACTTAAAAACCTCCTGATCTCTCTTTCCCCCCCTTCTCTTTCTCTCACATATCCTAATTTATTCACTAATTGTAGGAGGTTGCTGCACTGCAAAAGAAATATGCTGTGGCTTGATTCTTAGTGTGAGTGTGTGCGTGCTATATATCTTTGTGCGTACTTTGTGTGTGTATATCTGTGTGTGTATGTAATGTATGTGTGTGTGTGTGTGTGTGTGTGTTGGAAGATGAGGAGGGGGTGGTTGCTGTCAAGTGGCACACCAGGCTTCAGAGACACACGGGCTAAGAGCGCTAACGAGCGAACACACGCACACACACGCACACACACACACACACAAACGCACACTGAGGTCTGTGAGGTAGCAGATTAGGTCCCAGTGGGGGTTAGTGACACCGATTCAACAGCTGGTAGATGTGTACTGTGTATACAGACACACACACACACCCACACATACACAAGCCCACATTTCATCAGAGGAGCGAGGCCCTGGCTTAACAACAGAGACATTTGTTCAAAGGTCTGAGCTCGACAGAGAAAACGGACAGTGGAGAGATGCAACCGGGGTGAACCACCGGGGACTAACAGTGATTACTGTACAGGCTCTGTGCCGGCCTCGCTAACAGCAACTGGCTTTGTGACCGTCCAGACTCACGAGACTCATTTCCAGAGTAAGGACTTGATTTTTCAAATATCTGAAACATCTTAATTAATCTCAGATGAGATGCCGCTTTCCGATACTGTGAAGTGTTTGGCAAGCAATCGACAAATTAGTTTGCAGAGAGCCGTTTTTATAGTTCTCTTATTAAACTTCTGGAAGCCTCATGCAATGTCTACGCTACTTCACACTAAAGCTTGCATGCAGTGCATTAAATAAAAAAATTTAATCAGCAGCACATGTGAGGATTTCTTATTTTGCTGTTCATGTGAGTGAAAAATTATTATTGCATCATAAAAAAAGAAAAAAGAAAAATAATAATTGAACCGCCACGATGGACCACGATGCTGTGAAGAGTCTTATTTTCGTCTGATCTACCTACCTGGATCAAAATCTGGTCTTCAATCACCACATTCCTTTCTAGGGATCACCTGATGTAACAGATAGCCAATATTCGCCTTTTATTAAAAATCAAATATCAGCCAGGCTGTATTGTCTCCCTCTGATATGATGTATGATCCTCCCTGACCGTATCCAGCTTTTTTTTAATGTTATTTTTCTATCAGATGTCTGACCAGAGAAATCACTCCAGCCCGGTGTGGCAGAATATCACTCAGCAGCTTCAGGGGTGTCAAGTGTGTAAAAACCTGCGATGAAACTTTCCTGAAGGAGCTGGAAGAATTCGATTAGTCTGGCTCTCATTGAAGAGTTTTGTGTCTCGTGATGCTTTTGAATGTCGTCTCAGAGGCTTTTCCACTCTTGACGAGAACAAAATTTGCAGCGAGACTATGCAAAGTTTTTTTCTGAACAATGACCACTTTGTTCACAAGTGGCTTTCTTTTCGTTTCTTTTTCTTTTTCTTTTTCTTGTCTTGAGGGCACTAGAACAAGCTGAAAACACGACATGCGGTGAACATGCCAGACAGTTATTTCCTGGTTACACATTCAGCAGATACAACAACATTAGCATTCATTCTGCTGATGAAAGTGACTCGGATATTCCCACTCCTTTTAGCTCTCTGTTTGAAAATGAGCGACATTTTTAGGGCAGACAACCAAAACAAAGAGCTAAAAGAGGCCTGGAGAGCTGCAGAGATCGGGATAATCGAACAATCGAGTGTTTGAACTGATTCAATTATTTAGATCTTTGTATACATGAAGTAACATTAGCCACCGCGAGCTACTGGTCATATCAGACCATGTGAAGCTGTAGCAGGAACAATCAATGAGAATATTATTATATGTTGTGTTACAGCGGATTTTTCATCCGGACACTTACAGCGCTCTCTATGCTGCGGGCCGTCTCTCCAAACAACTCCGACTTGGGGTCCTCCATCTCCGGGGTGTAGAAAATCTCTTGGCCCTCTACCTGGTCCAGGTGCAGGAAACCGCTGAACCTCATGGTGGCTGGAAGGAAGAGGAGACGAGGAAAGAGCATGTGATACTGAAAACACCACGGGTCGAACCTTCGTCTATCACTCACTCCCCACTGCCTTCACACGGTGCTCATTCTGGGGTAGTGCCAGTTTCGGGTTAGTGATGGAGAGTATGTTTGTGTGTGTTTGACGAGGGGAGGTTAGTGAGTGTGTTGCTGATTGTGTGTGTGTGGGTGGGTGGGTGGGTGGTGGGGTTTTAAAAAGGGCTGGAGTTCGGCCTTGATAGGTGAACGTGGTGGAGGTTGTGGCGGTGGAAGAGATGGACTGTGAGATATGAGAGAAGGAAGGAAGGAAGGAAGGAAACCAAAGAAGGACGGAAGGAAAGGTGGAAAAATGGGCCAGTTTTACCAGACCGAGATGTGTCCCAAAAGCTGGCCGAGGCATGGAGGGCTGGGTAAAAAGACAACAAGTTAGACAGACACACAAATACATGAGGAAGAAAACAACACATACACTAAAGAGGAAACAGCCCCCAGCCACTCTCAAAAGTGCCTCCTTCAGCAAAGAGCAAGCCTCCCTGTACGACCTTGGGGGTTATGTTGTCCAACATCTATCAACTCTTTATACAGTTTCTCCGTACTGCTGCCAGAGAGGAGAGGGCTTGAAATAAAGCTGAAAGTGAGGGGATTTGTGTGTGTGTGTGTGTGTGTGTGTGTGAGGTGACGAACAGAAGAGCATGCGAGGCACTGATGCCGGGTTTCCACGCCGCTCGTAATCAGCAGAACAAATTGCCCAAATCAATCATGGCTGCCCCTGCCTGAGCTACACCAGGGAGAATGGGAAGAGCACTTGTATGATTATCGTGAAAGATAGCCGTAATTGTCTCCTTAATGCCACCAGACCGGTGACTGACACAGCCTGGTTAAAATTGCATGAAAAGGACAGCAGTCACTGCAGACACATACGCCCGCCCGCCTATCCGCCTGCCCGCCCACCCGCCTGCCACTCTCGCACCCCCCCCCGCCTTTACAGTACTTTCACGGGCTGCACACATCGATTCAGATGTGACGGCAGCCATAAAATAAGAGGCAAATGGGCGAGGTTTGGCCGATAAGATGAAGGAGGAAGAAAGAAAGAGAGGGGACATCGAGAGATCGGACTTTTAATCTGCAGAGAAGACAAACATCAGAGTGGGTGATTTTCCAGCCCACTGCCGTGACGGACGTAAAGAGAGAGAGAGAAAGAGAGAGATAAAAGGAGGGACAGAGCTATTTGACTATCGGGTTCTAGTGAACTGTAAAATATAATGGATTTGTTAGGACTTCCCTTGGCATATGGAAGAGTTTACAGTAGCTGGAGCTTAGTGTGCCATTAACTCTCACATGGGCATTTGCTGGCCATTATCTATGATGTTATATGAATTGTGTTGTTTAAATGTAACATATGGAGAGCCTTATGTCACATTAAACTGAAGAACCGGTGATGCACTGGCTACAGAGATTTCAGAGGAAGATATCTCAACATCCATGTGAATAGACACAAAACTATCTCCATCATTACTCCAACTAAGTGATTACATACGTGTTTTAGAATTTGTGATTGAACCGAGAGTCAGATATCCGCCGTGAAGCCGCGCAATTGAATACACAAAGGGTTTCATAGATCTCCCCGAGTGTGTTAACGGTGTGGACAAAACTCAACCTTGAATCACTTCACCATTTTAATGTCTCGATGAAATGTGAAGATTGCAACAGCAAACAATTAGTCTTTTTTTTTAAATTTATTTTGAGACAGTCGGGCGCATGTCAATAAACCTGCACCGGGAACAATGAGATGGCGGCCGGTGGATATTCTAGCATGGGAGAAAACGTGTCATTTCACTTCTAATGAGCGGAGAATAGGCTTAGCCCTTCTCAGGAGAAAAAAGATCCGGGGTATTGATCTGCCTATGGTGCCGCCTGCTTTTATTGGTAACACTTGAGCTGAATGAAGTATTGATCGCTGATGTGCCGTCATTGTTGGGCTGAGATAAATATTTACAGGCTTTAGTGGATTTGTTACATCTGTTGTCTTGGATTTGAGGTCCGAACACCATGAAATCCAAGCTTGACAGATGTGGCGTTCCATGTTTCACCCCTGTTCAGCTTTAAATTCTGTGAAAGAAGTCAGAGGGCTGTGGAAGGCTTCAGATAACGGTGTGGACTGTGTGGCAGTGAAATCTGCTGGTTTACTGGGAGACTATGGGACCTTCGTGCCAGAAATCTAACTCTGCACTCTGCACCATTTTGTAGCCTCAACTCTTTTAAGTCATGACCTGTGGCACCCATGGGGGCCAGATAGAAACCCCTACTTTCACAATCAGTCAGGCTAACACAACTGGGACAAACAGAGAGCAGATTTCAACCGAGGGACGGAGGGAGAGAGAGATAGAGAAGCAAAGGGGAGAAAGAAGCTCTTTTATCTTTTTGAACAGAGTCTGGCAGAAGGCACTGATTGGTACACCAGTGCTTGTTGGCCTCTGGTAGTCTCTCGACTCTCTCCCCGCTCAACTCCAGAGAGAAATGAACTGATGCAAGACCGGGCTGAGGGAGAGAAAAGACTTGAGATACAGCTCAAGAGGGAGATACCGAACACTGACTGATAAAGAGAAGGGCTGAGTAAAAGAAGAGGTGGGAGATTAAAAGAAGAGGAAAGAAGGTGAAGGAAGATCGAAAAAAGCAGGAATAGACACACAGATGGTTATTCATAGCACAGGGGCCCTAAAATATGATGTTGAGTCTCGCGTCAAACCAAACTTTATTCAATATTCTGGAGAAAAACTAGAGAAAATGAAACGCACTGAGGATCTGGCAGGGTATGACTAATATCAGAGTCAGACTGTGAAGTGTTGTCAAATTCATAAACGTGGATTACTGCGTCGTCCGACTGAATGTTTCACTACTTGAGTATTTATTTTTTTTATTTTCTTCCACTTGCCAATATGATCATTTACATATGAGGGAAGTGATTCATGAAAGCACTGCTGCAAAAGAAAAAGCGGGAATCCATCTTGCCACGCTCCAAGCTAGTGGTTTGGACCAATCAGCATCATATGAGGAAGTAACTACGGGAAGCTACAGAGAAGCAACAGTTTTGTTTTTTGTTAGAGCGCAAGAATCGTCTGTACCGACATGCTAACTAGCTTCAAAGCTCCTCAGACGGCGGCTTGTTGCTGTGTTGTGTTTCCTCTTCGGCACTTTCCAACTACTTCATATGACGGACAGATGGTTCATCTAATTACCTGCCAAGTATTTTTTGAAACGCCTGCCCTTTTCCAAACAGTTTCCAACAAAGCCTTTCCAGATGGTTCTGTATAACAAACCATCTGACGCGTCAGTTTATAACATCGCTATTCCCGAAGTAGACATTCAACATAAAAATATATTGTGTTGATTCTCAAATTATCTACAAATTAAAATTTATAAATTGAGTTTTAAAAATGGAGAGAAAGTTAGATGTGACACAAAAAGTTTTGGGATTCTGTTCCACAAATAAGAAAACCCAGAATCTCATAAATGTTTGTAATAGCACTAATTAGAAAGTAGAAAATCAGCCCTTCAACATAACCACGCTCAACAGGAAATTGTGTTGATTGCTCCATCTGACACAGATGGTAAATATTATATGTGAAACTGTATTTTGTACATACACAGTATAATCTCTGGTTTTAGGTTTAACATATTCAGTTTTGCCACAAGCCCCGGAGAGCAGAGCTGTGACTGAAGTCCGGGGCAAAACACTGCACAATCATGCAAATGGAAGACAGTGTAGAGTGTGTCGTTCACGCAGAAATTACAGCTAAAATAAAAATTGCTTCCTGCCTGAAAAATAAATGAGGAGATTGATACCTCTCTCATTATGTATTAATGTTGCATTCACATGCTGCGAGTTGGGAAGCTGTTTTTCCAACTTGGGTGTGTTCAAGTGCTTTGAAGTTGGATAGCAGGCTAGGTCGCTCTATGTGGAAAGCAAGTAAGGATTACGAGCTAATACCTTATTACAAATTAAATGTTAGCCAAAAAATGGATACACAATGCTTGAATTTGCAGCAGTAATCAAAAGTTTCTTAGCCTCAACCAAACTTTTTGCTGACTTTCCCAAGTCTGCAACTTATTTTTCCGATTATTCCAACACATGAATGCACCATTAAGTGTGCAGCTGAAGATAGGAGAGGATTAACTTAGCATAAAGTGAGCATAAAGTTTTGTTATTACATTTCTGTATGTGTACGGGTTAAACAAAGAGACACTAAGTGTTAATTGATGAGTTTTTTTTCCTTCTGAGAGAGGAAAGCTAGACTACCTGTTTCCCCCTGCTTCCAGCCTTTATGCTAAGCTAAGCTAATTGCCTCCCAGCTCTAACTCCACACTTAATGCACAGACATGAGCTTAGTATTGATTTTAGCCTCTAAGTCTCAGAAAGAATTATACATATAAATATAAATATATAAAAATGTTTCTTCAATGGGCAATGTAGTTTGTTGTTTAAATTTGCTAACATCACAAAGGAATCAAATAGCAACGTTAGCTATTTGCTAAGTGCTGTAGTAGGTGCTCATTTACTGTATCTTAGCAGATAGGTGGAAAACCCAGGAGCATGTTTCTCTTTTTTCAAAAACATCAATGGAAGAAAGAGATTTAAGGTTCTGTGACTCAGTGCATTGATTTAGAGAAGCTTCTGCAACAGCAGCTAGTTCGGAAGTGAAGTCGGGATTTCAGCCCTCTTATCACATCTTATCGCACTGTACCAACAGACAGGGTAACAGGGTAATATCCAGGTAATCAGAAGCTAGAGAAGGTGTCTTGTGAAGGGTCATGCTGACTTACAGGGGCAGTTGGCGCCCTCTGGAGTGCTGGATGGTGTCTTGCCGTCAGGACAGCAGCCGAACTCTGTGTTGTCACAGGATGATCTGTCTTCAGCTGTGGGCACAGTGGTGTTTGCCATAGTGGGATCTGGGGGTGATACACAGGGGCACATAATAATTCATGAAGCTTCAGAAAATGCATCGATTCAAGCCAGCTTATCGCAGACAGCCAGAGGGGAGCTGTTTTCTCAGACAGGTACTGAGGACAGGTAGTTCTTCTAAGCTTAAAACCTACAATTTCCTTTGTTTCCTCTCTACTTGCTCTTGTTCAGATGCTTGTGTGTTTTCACTCCACTGACCAGTGACTGGATGCTAATAGAGTCATCTGTCAGAAGCAATTATATGGCATTTTCATAGCGATTGATTTTACACCTGGAACTCATTTTGTCAGGCAGAGAAAACGTAATGGCCACTGTTGCCAGTCATGTCACACACAGAGTACTGTAAATGGGAGGGGAGGGGGGGGGGGCTCTTTGATCTGCAACTGCTCACTGCTGATTGGCTGACAGTTACCTTGAAGTCTTCCCAAGAGAAAAAAAAACATACAGTCATTTGTGTAACGGTCACTGTATATCTGGCTATCTTGGGACATATAAGACATAAAAGTGGCCGGCCATTTCTCTCTCTGATGAACAAGAGTGTGCAACAGCAGCAAACCTCCATCCTCTCTAACGATGGCGCCGGCGGAGGGGGTGTGTTGGTTGAAGCGGCGCAGTTTATGGCCGCACAGAGATTAGAAATAATCGCCGAGGCAAACAGCTAGCGGCTAAACAAGTTGTAAAGACGTCAGAGGCGAGGGACGTCCTGCTCAAGGACTCGCGGTCAAAGGATGCGAGAGGAAGGGAGGGAGGGGGGGAGGGGGGTTTATAGGGCATCTGTTGGCGTGTGGTCTGCAGATTTACAGATGCTGGGCTGAAGAGCAGAACGCTGGTGGTGGAGAGAGGGCAGTACACAGCAGCCAAGGGGACGCTGCATGACTCCAGTGGGAGCCATGAGAGCTGTCAAATAAACACACGCACGCACACACACACACACACGCGCACGCACACACACACACATGCACGCACGCTGACATACACAGCCAAACATGAGTGCAGATTTCAACAGAGCATGGATACAAAAACACACACAAACGCACACCTCTGACCTGCTCACATTTATATATTCAGACAGTGATATGTGCACTCAGAATTGGTCAAACTCAGTGACATAAGGAGAGGGAGATAAGAGTAAAACACACACACACACCCTTGTACAGCTATCTTTGTGAGGACCTGTCATTGACATAATACATTCCCCTGTCCCCCTTACCTTTACCTGAACCATCACAACTGAATGTCTAACCCAAACCCTTCACTAAACTTAATTCTAACCTGAACAGTAAAACAAAGTCTTAATCCTAAAACAAACATTTAAACTTGTGGGATCCAACAAAGCTGTTGGATCCCACAAGTATATGAAGCTCCCAGTTTTTGAACCATAAAACAAGCCCACACACCCACACACACACACAAAAAAAAACAAAGATAAGATTTCTACATACATACTGTATAAAACGCATGAGTACTCCTGACAAACACACAATTACCAGAACACAGAGATTATGCAAATTTTAACGTTGTCTGTGTTGAAATCTGCACTGTGCAATCTCTTCATCTGCTCACACTACATCAGCATGTATGCACGTATTCAGCATGCTCAGGTACACATTAATTCACACACACACACACACACACACACACACACACACACACACACACACACACATATATATGTTACGGCGAGCTGTCAGGCAAAGTGGATGGATGTATATATATATATATACACACACACACACACACACACACACACACAGCCACAAGACTGGGGCTCTCCTTGGCAGACAAGCTACATGCTCCTCGCGTCACCGAGCACTCTGGTCAGCCTCTGACAAGAGAATAAATCTAAGACTCGGGGAGATGGAGCGAGAGGGGAGGAGGAAGAGGAAGAGCTGAGGAAGAGCACATTGGTGGCCATGCTGTTCCATCAGTCCGATCCTGTTACGGCGAGCTGTCAGGCAAAGTGGATGGATAGACGGATGGAACACAACAGGAATAAAAAAAAAAAAATCTAAAAAAAACAGAAAAAAGTTGTGATTGAAAAGTCTCAGTCATCTCTTGTTGTCCAAGAGGACGCCCAGAAACCGCAGCTGGCTGTTACAGTCAGGAGGGCATGTCGAGAAAGATTTGAGACTAGTCATGTGACAAGGTACGCAGCCTCCGCACGCACGCACACACACACACACACGCACACCTCAACCTCTCAGTCACATCAGCCTGTCAAGTCAGGCTCCAGAGATCCCCCAGATGCGGGCCAACAGTTTCATCTGGCCCGCCGCGAGTGTATTTTACAGAGCCTGGGTTTGTTTTCTGCGAGCTGTTGAGAGCAAGCGCTGGTGATATGGGAGAAAAGAGCATGGGTGATGTAGCAACAGTGAAGCATGCAAATACATTCCTTTCTGTCTGAAATTGAGATATACATCTTATGAAAGTTGAGATGACACCAACAGCATGTGTTTACAGAGATTTGACTGCCTGGCTTTGACATTTCTCTCCTCCGGCTGTCGCAGTCAGGAGGGTATGTTGACAATTCATACGACACAAAACAATACTTAAGCTTGTGCTCATTTTAACTTCCAGTGATGGCATGATTGTGTTATGATGTCAGCTAAGAAAAGACTATATGAGATTGTCCAACCCCTTCTTTAAAAAAAAAAGCAACAAAAAAAAAGCCCCTCCCATAAAAACCCAAAGCATTGTGGGTAATGAAGTGAAAGAGCAGGGATTTACCGAATGGCTCCTCTGCCCCACTGGCCTCTGCTGGGATGCCGCTACCCGCTTCCTCTTCCTGCTCCTCCTCTTCTTCGGTCTGGTCATCCCCGCTCGGCTCCCCGCTGCCTGAGCCCTCAAAGGAGGCCACTGCAGCGGAGGGGGTGGGTCTGATGCTGCGGGAGGAGGAGGTGGTGGCAGCGGTCGGCTGTGGAGGCTGAGGCTGGGTGTGGATGGGGTGGCGGTGGTTTGTTCGCGCACGGTTGTGATTGATGGTGGAAAAGGGGGTGGTAGCCGGGGGTCTCTCGTTGGTCTCTATCTCTGCTGTCCTTGGAGGCGGGATGCCGTACACGATGTTAGGGTTTAAGGGGGCGGCGGTGGTGATGGAGGCGGCAGTGGTGGTGATGGGGTTGTGGGTTGGTCGTTCTGCCAGCTCGGAGATGGTTTCTGGTGGAGGGAAGGGCAGGAAGCAAGGAATGGATGAATGACTGAGTAAAGATGGAAATGTTTGATTTTGCTTCGACTAACTCTTTTACAATCTCAGAAATCACACCAAGAGAAATAAAAACATCTTCAGCCAATAAAGCATCAGAAAGCCACTTAATGATCATTACAACCTGCTGCTGACAATAACTTTACCTCTGCATTTACTGAATGATTATGGCCTTTAAATCTTCTAACCGTTCTCCCTGATGCACAACAATGTAATTGTGAAATCACATTAAAAACACACACACACATACACACACACACACACATTTGAAAAATGTAACCACTGATTAAAAACCCTGCAATGGATGAGATGTCGGGAATCTTCATTTAACAAACCATAAGTAATGAAAGCGTCTCCTTATACAGCATGTGAATATGTGAATATGGGATATGCCAACAGATGACTTACTGCATTCGATGTTATATGCAATGCAGTGTGTTCCAGCTGCAGATGAGTTACGTTGCTCGGACGGTGTTAAAATACTCCGGTTGGTGTCGATGCATCGTGTGCAGCGTGTTTGTGAGCACATGTGGCATGCGTTTGTTTGTACAATATTCATGTATGTGTATTGCATGCGTGCTGTGCCATTGCTTATGAATTATATATCCATATTCAAATGCTGCCCTCCAGTAGTAAAGCTTTAATCACCAACAGCCAGTGCCTCCGGTGATGAATGATTGATAGAAATGGGGCAAAAAAAGCCGGCTTTAACTCTGACTTCAAAGACGGCAGACTGCTGCTCGCAGAGCGCATGAGCATCCATCAACGCCACCACAAACACTCTCCTGTCAACAGACGCACACAAACACACACACACACAGCAAAGAGAAAAAAAAAAAATCACTCCAAATGAGGGAGAGAGAGAGCGAGAGAGAGAGAGGAGGCTCTCTGCAGAGACCATCATTACCAATGCAAAAAGCTCTGGTGCAAAAGGACAAACTGTCTGCGATAAAAGAACGATAAATAGGACAAAAACTCCTGAGGGGGAGAAGTGAGTTGGCAGGGAGCTGCTACGTAAGTGAGTCCTTCAGATTTAGCCGAGGCACGCAGGCGTGACAATACTGTCGTTCCTCCTCTACGTCCCACGAGTATAGATGTGTGTTAGCATGTGGGTGAAATGAAAAGATTTCAAATTAAAAAAAAAAACCCTATACCATAGATTTGCGCCTCATTAGGATTCACCTAACATTATGTGTAGGACTTAATTACACTGCTATAATCGCCTATTTGATCTGCAATTATTCACCGAGGTGTGAAATGTGATACCTATTGAGACGGCGGAAAGCCTGGGAGACTCACGGGGTGTCAGCTTAAAGCTCGGCAGATATTTGTTGAGAAAGAGACTCGGAGTGGAGAGCATAGAGCAGAGATGCTATCACCAAGAATGGTGGCATGCATTGCCTTTCCTCTTGGCTACACCTGTCAGTCAGGTGCCAAGCTTAGCGTCAGGCGGCTTGCTCCCTGGGAAGTGCCTAATGTGTGTGCATATCTCGAGCAGGGAGCTCCTGTGACATGGGATAAGGAAAGAAAAGCACACACGTCTGAGAGAGCAAAGAAGCAGCAGCGACACAGTCTGTTCAGCTGATGCTTCTCTTAATCAGGTTTAACAGTCCATTTGCTTGTGTTTCTGCTTTTTTTCCTCTCAGTGGAGCAATGGACAGTCATGTCACAGGGTAGGAAAAAAAAAAAACATCATTGTCGTCTTGGCTTGTCTCAGCCGTGTAGTTACGGTTGAAAGGTGGTTATTAAGATTGTCTTTACGGTGTCAGCCGTGCTCAGCGAGAAGGAGGAGGAATCTGGATACAGGAGACCAGGGGAGAAAGACAAGGGAACCACAGAGCCAAGAAGAAGAAAATGATAGGGACAAACTGCCTGAAGAAAAGGGATTAAATCAGGACGAAAAAAAATAAAAATAAAAACAGGTTAACAAAGGAAGCGGTGGAAGAATACGGCGAGGCAAACAGAATGAGAGATTGAATAATGAGAAAAAATCGCAGGACATGGAGCAGAAATTGTGAAGGCAACAGAACCCTGACTAACACGCAGGCGGAGGACTGCCGATGCCATATGCTGTCACTCGTTGCCAATTTGCTGCAAACCTACAGGTGATAACACCATATGGTAGAGGCGGGTCATTGCCAACTTGGTGGCCATTTTCCCCTGGTGCTAGAATTTGTTCATTGGCCCAAATGCCCTCCCTCTGGTGCTTGGTACAGTAGCTCTTGCATTATTTTTCTTTATGGATTTCTCAGATATCGTTTGCTGAGAAACAGCAAAGAAGCCAGAAAAACTCCTCCCTGTACTCTGCGTGTGGCTGTGCTGCCTGTTAGCTCGGAGACTTCACAGACAGCTGGGTAACATCACAGTTAACTGAGAGTTCTCTGTCACCAGCAGAAAAAAATCTGAAGGAGCTTTTTCTGCAGGATTGTGATTTTTTTTTTTTTTTTTCAGCCTGCCCATTAGAGGCAGACTGTGCAGCAGCAGTCACACTCTGTGGTATAATAAAAAGTTGCGGCAGATCAATGATGTTAAAAAAAGATCAATATTCACTCATTTATATAAAGCCCTTGGCATTGCTCTCTTGTCAAACCACATAGCAGCTTGGTGAGCATTAGCATGCCACAGCGCTGAGGCCGGGCGTCTGGAAGCACTGCATGTAAGCAGTGGGAGGGAGGGCGGGCAGGGCTGCAGCGTGGCGAGGGGTGGAGGCAGAGCAAATGCTAATTCGCACCCAGCCACACGTGAAATGAGCTCGAGATCTAACCCCCGAGCCGACAGCAGTGGCGGAGCAGCTACCCGCGGTGCGACCGCGTCCGGGAAAAGAAATTAAAAAATCCTCTGTGGCTGTCGGTGAGCCCGAGTGTTCGCCTGTCTCTTCCTCCCCTGAGGGTTCGATAGAGAAAGAGTCCGCTGAGAGGCATCTTCTTGCCTTCTCTGCGCAGCAATGCTAGGCGAGGGATTACACACAACCCACAATTCCATTGCCAGGCAACAGAGGAATGTGAAACCAGACTGGATTTTGGCTCCTTTTGCTGGTAACCCACGGCACTGAATTTGTAATTACCAGATGTTCAGGGACTTATCAAAGCCTTGTTGATCTCTTGCTGAGTCTATTTGTATTTTTTTATCTGTGTACCTGCAACTGCAGATCAACAAAGACCATGCCAACAGCCTCGCCTCCTATTGATATGACCTAGTTTGGGTTTGACAAAGAGCACCCAAGGGAGATGGATGAAAAGGACTCTGCTTTTTTATGACACAGTATTTGGTCACTTGATCTGTGCCCACTGAGCAATGAGGTGAACGAACATTTTTACACCCCAAAATGCCAGACACCTGGCCGTGGCTCTTGGCCAGACCCACACAGCTGGCACTTCCCTTCCACACCGCACTCGCCGGCGGCGTCTCTAGAACCCTGTTGTGACGCAAGCTGGCAGTCGGCTCAACAACTTCACTGTACATGAAAGCCATGGCCTTGGCACATGTCCTAGCACCAATTACACCGATCCAAACAACATCCATCACCCTCTGGACCAAAGGGGCAAGGAGCTGCACCTTCTACTCCACGTAACATGTACTCTAGATCCGCCATCACACTGAAACGGCGTCGTGTTCCTACCAGCATAAAGCTGCATTTCCCAACAGGGGGTGGGGTGGGGGGGGTTTGAAGATGGAGCCAAATCCCGACAGAGGGGCGAGAAAGCAAAGAGGAAGTGTCATCCCAATCTTGTGGGATTGCAGGGCTCAGACTCAGACTCCAGTCAAACTGCACAACCCGCGGATTTGAACACTACAGTACCTCACCCTTTCTTATTCTGACGTTTCCCCCCAGTGGTGCACATGATTTTGCTCTCACCTGACAGTCCATGAGAAGAAGACGGGTCTTATTTTTTAATGCACTCCGTGAAATGAACCAAATATTTCTTATTAGACAATCAGAATCACGGAGCTTTAGAAACTGCAGTTTTAGAAACAATGAAAAGTTCAAAATTCTCAGAAGAGAACTTGAATAACGAACATGGAACTCTGATCTTGTGTCCTTTGAAATAAAATACTTTGGATTTGCCTAATCTCAAATGAGGATCACTGCTCAACCTGCTGTTATGTGCAGGTAGTTTCTTTTAAACGCAAAACTCAAGCTAAAAAGTGCGTTCACGTCGCTGTGGCTTCACTCTCTCCGAGACAGAGACGGAGAACTGGATAGGAGGAGAAACAGCAGGAGGCCCACGACACCGCTCATTATCTTCGGATCAGGGTCTGACAACAGTCGGCCATCCGTGCGACGTGTGATGCATGGAGGCACCGACGGGGCTCACCTGTGCACTGTCCGAAGTGTTGCACTGTGATGTCCTTGTCTTGCCTGCAGGCGATGGTCCTCAGCTGGCACTGGTCGGCATAAGTCACCCCATCAGAGCCGCACACCTGCGCCACAGTGACAGAGATGGAGAGAGAGAGAGATAGAGAGAGAGAGGGGGGAGATGGGAACACACATTAGCTTCCTGCAGGTCACTGAAGCAAAGTCTTTCTATTTATAACCTGTGGATCAAAATACTTATTTATCAAGTGCAGAAAGTTCCCACCTTAGTCTTGTTTTTCTCATCGCAGTCAGGTGCGGGGCACTCGCAGTGGGCTTGGCCGTTCACCTCAATGCAAGAAGCCCCAAAGCTGCACTCTAACTCCTCGCATGAAGTGGGAGCCTCAGGTCCTGTGGAAGACGGCGGTTTGTGTTGTTAGACTTTCTGTGCGGCTCCACACTCATGCAGTTTGAGACAGGAGAGAGTAGCTGCTTCATGACTTCTGATTGTGGCGGTTGTTGTGGAAATGCGGAGCTAAATTAAAAGTTAAATTAGCATGCATATTTAATGTTTTACAGTTACAGAACTCTTGCTTACTTTTATTAAGTAGGCACGAGTTCTGCCTGTTAAACAGCCAATAAATTAGTTTCTCAAAAATTTGTAAAGCATGATGAAATATGAACGTAATCAAACAGGAATAAATGTTTTCTGAGTCCTCACCACATTCATATACACAGTAACATAACAGTGCGGCTGCTGCTGCTTCAAGCTTACTCCGCTTTTCCGTGTGACGTCATACCAACGATTTTGATTTGGACAAATAAAATGAACGGATCTCCGCCCGGTGGAGGATGAGACTCTCTCTTTGTGTCACGAATCCAATCTACAGCGGGGTGTTTGCAAGCACAACGGTGGGTACATTTCAAAACCAGAAGAGGTTGTCCAGCCTTCAAAAACAGCACAGAGCAGCAGAGATAATGTACTCATGAGATTCTCTATATACCTGTCACATGTCACACAGCGTGACTTATTCATAGTTTCACAAACCAGAATATTTTCCTAAAACTGCAGTCAAAAAAGAAACAGAGTATGTTTCAGTTATGTAAAGGTCTGCACTCGGGGTATTTTTTTCCACAGCGCTCTGCTGAAGCTCTCCAAAGGAGCGTTTGAAGCCTTGGAAGTTTCCACAACAGGAGCTGCTGCCGGGGGAGCCCACCATCCACTGGCCAACTGTGAGTGTGGGGTCTTTGCATTGTTGCAACATCACAGAGGCTTTCAGTGCCCTTCCACCCCTTGGCTCCTGCTTTCATGTGCTACCACCTCTCAGTATCTTGTCTTTTCATCTGGCAGGGGTGTGTGGCAAAGTGCCCCACCACTGTGCCGGGACCGCTGGCTTCATTAAGTGTTTGACTTCCAGTCGATATCTGATGGTGCATCTTAATCAAGGAGCTGCAGGCCCCCGCAGCAGGAACTAAACTTTCCTTCAACCGGCTTTTTAGCTCGTGCAGCCACTGGAGCTGTTTCTATTATTAATCTAAGTGTAATCAATAGTCTTAGGAGTATAAACATACACATTCAAGTGAATGGTCCAAAATGGCGTATGGTGAAGAGGAAATAAAATGTCAGTGGAGCGATATGTCATGCACATATCATTTGTACACTCAAGTATTTTCCTAATCACTATCGATTAACTGCCCTGTAGCCTCCCTCCTTCCAATAAAGCAGATGGATGTGAAGAGCAGACAGAGAAAAGACTGGCTGCTGCAAGGCTGATCCATGGATCAGAGACAAGTGACAGCAAAACACTTTAGAATGATGGAGAGAAGAAGAGAAAAACGCGCGCCATGTTGCCTCTGCGCTCTCTCTTATTACCTTTGTCGCAGCCGTTCATGCCCATCTTGCTTCCATCTGGACACACGTTGCACTTCATGCCCTTCACTCCCGTCTTACAGGAGCACAGGCCCGACATCTGTTCGCAGTCGTCCCGGACCGAGCCCGTGGCGTCGCAGTTACACGCTGCCACGGAGAGGTAGAGGGGGAGAAAAAGAAGAAAGAAACAGGAAGAGATAGATTGATGAGAAAATCATATCAATTGAGGACAGTGACAGGAAGAGGGATTCGAATAGCTTGGTGTATGTGGTGTACATAGTGGGTTTGAGGCGACCTTAGCCCCTGATCCCTGCTTCAGCTATATTGTTGTTAAGGGTTGGCAACAGTTCATCCAGCCTCAGGGGCCATTGAGGGAGGAGTAGGAGTGCATAGCAGAAACTCAAGAAAACAACCTTAGGGAAGGACATCAACCCCATCATGTTCCTAGAATCAATGATGTGTGTTTTTTTTTTTTTCCCTCCTCTCCTGCTGAACCTGGTATTGGTGTGCAGTGTGCTGTCTGCTTGCTGTGGGTAAACCTTGTTAAGGTCAGGCCACGGGTGAGGCACCTGCAGGCTTCCTGCTGTTGACTGAAAATGCTCTGTGGCTTTGGAAGCATATGTCCTACGATACCTCAGCGGCAGGGTACATAGCTGGTCACCATATTGCATTACACCAAGACAAACAAGGGGCCATGACCCCGGGCGTCACTCGAATACAAATGAATACAGTTCGTTCAGTACAGTTTTGACATGAATGAAGGACACAAAAAACGGCCGATCAAATCGTGGTTTAGTTGGTACTTAATCTACTTTTTACTGTCTATGCCAAAGTTAATACTTAATACACTAAGTGTTGACTCAAAGATATTGTCATGATTTTAGTGAGAATTGCATTTTCTCACTTACCTCTAATGGAATAGATTTGGTTTTATTTGTCCAGGCTTTTTAATACATCTGTGCCTAAATGTGTTTGGATCCATCCCACTACAGTGTGTTGAATGGAGATTTAACTATAACAATATAACATTTTCAGAAGCAGTTTCTACAACTGTATTGTTTTACTACTCTTTCCGCTTTGGATGCAGTCGTTTTATGGTGAAGCATCTCGAGTAACTGGGACATTGTTTGCTTCTACTTCTGTCTACTGTGTATGTACATCTATTGCATGTAAGTTTTTTTCTTCCTGAGGTTTCTCTCGGTTTTTTTAAGTATTTTTGTGGATTGTAAAGCCCTCAGAAGCAAATGTGTGATTTGTGATTGTTGGCTACATGAATAAAACTGACTTGACAGATTTTTCAAAACCCAGAAGAAACCCGAACTCTCTCTGCGCGGCTCGATAACTCTCAAGGTAAGTGTGAAAACTTGAACTTTCAACAAATGACTCCCGCTCCTGCTGTTGAAGTCGTGTAACAGTAACAGGGTAAGTGCATCTGCTCGCTCAGCACGGATACTTAAAGACCGAGCTTACGTGTGCAGCCGCTCATGTTCTCCGTAACGATGCCGCGGAAGTTCCAGAAGCCCGGCTCGCAGCGGTCACACTTCTGTCCCCCGACGCCCGGCTTACAGGAGCACTGACCGCTGGCCGGGTCACACGTCCCCTTGTAGGAGCCGTAGGCGTTACACTGACAGGTACCTGAGGAGAACAGGGCAATATTTAACTTTTAACTTCTTCTCGTTCGTGCCTCTCTGTCTTTGATAAGACCCAACTGTTATGTAACTTACAACAGCTGAATTCAGCTTACTATGAGAGATATTGAAGATTTAAACTGGGCTCAAATGTTGGCCCAGTTGGATAAAGTGTGCTTAGGTGAGCTCCCTCTTTACCGAATCTCAGTCTATCCTTCTTTCTAAGTCTGCATTTTCTCCATCCATACTGTATCCCCTAGCTAACAGCTTGATGCAGCATTTTCTGCTCCATCTGTGTGCTATCATTCGTCAAGATCATCAGATGAAGAGATTTTTCCTGTTGATACAGTGCAACATTATCATAATTATTCCTTGGATTAAGATGAAACATTTTCAGCTCTGCAACTTTGGAAGTGTAACTGCAGTCAAGGACAATAAGCCACCGTATGCTGAAACAGGCTGATAGTATCTACAGTTTTTGTGCACACAACAAACTCAGGACACATGAGAGGCGAAGGGTCACAGTGGGACGCAGCAGAGGACTTACTGGGACATCCGGCCAGTCCGACTCCTAAGGCGGCCGTTATGTTGTCGGAGCAGCAGCCGTACACAGACAGACTGCAGTGCTGGGGTGCTGTCAGCTCAGGCAGAGATGTGGCTGAAATCACTGATGAGGTAGGAACAAAAAAAAAAAAAAGGGAGGGGAACGTGGCACAAGGGGAGAAAGAAGAACACCAACATTTGAGTGGGATTTAGACAACACAATCTCGGAGCAACATGTAACTTTTTGCCAACAATGAGATTGGCTCGAGGGGCAGAGGTGGAGAGGCTGGCAGCCGGCTTCAAGATAACAATTCTATTTTCTACTTTCTCCACAATAGCTCAAAATCAGGGGGAAATGATGCTATTACCTCCAGTGAAAACAAACAATGGCATTGCTGGTGAATGTGCGGGAGCTGACATTTACCACCTACTAGGAGGCATGTTCTCTTCATTTGTTCTTGTCTAATATTACAGAATTGTGCTGCCGCCCTACAACCTTCCAGGAAAAAAGAAAAAGAAAAGCCTGCTGCATAATGTGAAGGAATGTGCCAAGTAGTTTCTGTCTGTGCAGTGTGTGTGTGGAGAGCTCCTTTGTCTGCGGAGGCACCAGCCTTCATACTAGTGTGACAGCTCTGAATACGCAACTGCATTCAACAAAATAAAAACAAACGTGTTCCCAAAACCTGGCGCTTCTCCAGAAAAATTGGAAGCCAACAACAAAACATACAGTAGTAGGAAAAACGAAAGGGGAGGTTTGTTTAATGGCTGAGGCAAAAAATATCATTGTTCAAATTCTCTCCAGGCTTTGGAGTGCAAAGGAAAGTTGCAGAGATAGAAAGCAGAAACCTTTCCCTCCCCTTTTTATTTTTCTCTGTCTCTCTCTATTCCCCTCCCGATCTCTTTTTCTTGTGTTGCTCATTTGGAGTTTGGAGGCTGGAGATACAGGGGCTATAAATCACAGTGTTACTGGTGTGGATATGAGCCTCAGCCTAATGGTGATGACTCGGCTCACTCTTTTTTCCAGTGCTTTCCCACTCCAGAGATGGGCTTTGGACACACTTCATTTAACTTGCCACTTTCCAGCCCTCCATTCAGCTATCTGTACTGAGCCTATTAGGACGAGGAGAACTTTTAATTTCATATGTTCTTCTCCCCTCCAAGGGTTTTTCCTCTTCAGTGGCCATTGTCCGGCACAATGCGGCTCATTGTGACGTGCAATATCACCCTTACGTTTACAAGGTCTGCTGCTGTGCTTCCTCTGCTGCAGCTAGACTTTTTTTTATATTCCTGCAAGGGCACATCCGCACGTGTTTGCTTGTGTAGTAAACCAATAAGTGTTTCTTCGGATTCCACCGAAATCCCTGACCCAGATTTTGAGTTTGCAGGCAGCTATAGAGGATGGGCAAACTTTACACATGTGCATGCAGCAGATGACACAGTTGGCACCACATGCAAAAGAGTTTTAAGTTTTCCAAATCAGAACCACTTTCTTTCATGCTCCGCTAGCGAAAGGTAGCATGTTTTGATAACTTTCTGGAGTTGAGGTCATACGAAGTTTCTCCTTACATAGCTAATGTGGAGGGCAGTGAAATTCCCCAAGATCTGAGTTTGTTTTTTTTTTTTTATCCATTAGCCAATAGGAGAGGAGAGCCCAGAGCCCGCGTACCCATAGAGGGCTCTTCAAAAAAGGATTGATTATCCATGGATGGTAGAGAAGCGTGACAGTCAGTGCCCAAGGAGGCCAGCTTAGGAAAGAGAAGAATCTGCAGGGATGTGTGTGAAAACACTGGCAGCTCCCTCATTCTCACTCTCTCTTCAACTCTCTCCATCCTCCTCTCTTTTCGACCCACGGGGAATCAAACAGGCTGGAATGATCACACGAAATCCCTTAAGTGCCTTTTGCTCTGCTCTGCGGGCCCGGGCTCGAATCGGGAGCAAAAGCTCTTCATTTAACACAGCCATGAAGAGGAAGAACTAACCTTTGCTACTTAACCACCGATCTGACAACTATTCTGGCTGATAAATGCCATTCATTTACATGCAGACAGAGGGGGTTTTATATTAAAGTAAGTGGGGGAAAGTGATATCCCGAGGGTTGAGAAGCAAGCTTGTCAGCACAAGTTTAATGGTTTAAATTTTCAGAAATTGTAGGAAGGGAAAATGAATCATTATCACTATCAACTCAGTCTGTGTACGGTCGTGGAAATTACATCATCATCAATAATAAACACAAACCACTGTAGTAAATGAGTGTTGAAATATATACAGTGGAATGTGTCAGCGGAGATTCCCGTAAACAACAGTGAAATGTGATTAGCTCTTTAGATTTCACAAACAACCAATTAGCAACAAAAAACCATGAGCTGCTGACGTGCTAGCATGCGCTAAATGCATGCACAGATGTATATGTTGTATATGTGGTAGTATGAAAACACACTTTGACGTTACATCTTCACACTCCTCAGCTACATGAATCCCAACGGGCGTAAAAAAGCAAAGCGATCAAAGGCACAAAGTGGGAACAGAGGGAATAAATGATGAAACTAATGATTCAAGCTGGTTTTTACATTCACATTACATGAGCCTGCGAGAAAGATAACTGTGCGGCAGCCGGCCTCAGAGGAACGGTCAGTTTCTACATATAAACAAGGCTGTTGAATCAAGTCTCCCTGAGGAAATTACACAAACACACGCATCATATTCAACCACGACCTCCTTCCCTTCATTAGCTTGTGGCTACCGCGGTCACACTGCGGAGACAACAGCAGCGCTGTCAGAATTATATTCCAACTACAGACTATTTACTACCCCATCAATGGATGGAATGAGTGGAGAAATGGGATGTCAGTGACAATGAGTCTTGGTGAGGATGCTTCTGCTGCTACTGCAATGGCATTAACTGTGAGTGGTGGGATGTACCGACCTGCACAGGGTCCCTGGTTCTGAATCAACAAGTGCTCTTGTTTCTCACATCTGGCCTTCTTCAGCTCGCACTCGTTGCTGTAGTTTTTGCCGTCGGAGCCGCAAACCTACGAAAGAATGAAGAAAGTTTAGAGTTTAACCTGAGACTCTCTGTCAACCGGCTTATGGCACAGTTACTGTTTAAGTTGTGCCACCCAGAAGTGCCGTCGACTGGAACATCAGCCGAGCAGCACATAGTTTTAATCAAAAAATATATTTGATGTTATCTAAGAGTTTGGGTTCTTTATTTTTGGCCTGTGTCCACAAGTATAAAATATACATAGTGTTGACTCTCACCATTTAAAAACAAAACAAACAGGTTCACCAGGGTTCCCATCAGGCTTTAAAGATGATCATCATAATATTGTCAGTGAGTTATCTGCCGGCTACATCTGACAAATCCTACATTTGTACATTTTGGATCAAGGAAAGCAGCTTGTGTTTGCATTGTAACTATAAATGTACAGACATGTGTCACCTGAACATAATCTCTAAAGTGATTTGCATTTATCCCTGATGAACTGTGAGAGATACAGCTGTTACAGGAAACAATAAGTCGGCAGCAGTATGTGTCGGGCGTTCGTGTGCTCCGGTTGTTACTCAAGAGAAAAAGTTTTGTGTCAGTTTCATTTTAAGGATTAGGCCGTGTGAGTTGTGTTGATGTGGAGTGGGGGTTTTTCAAGGCAGCCGTACCGGGTTGTGAGGCACGCTCTGGCAGGTGAAGTCGCAGACGCAGCGGTCCTCCTCCGCATCCTCATCCCACGAGCCTCCAAACGTGCGACAGCGGTCCTGCTCACAGCTCTCCACGCCTGAGCCTGACCCTCCTGATCCGCAGTCTGCATGACATACACCATAAGTGCACAGCGTCATTAATAAAACATACAAACACACAAGGGAGATGCCTCTTTATCGGCGCATCAGATGGAAACAGTGTCCTAGTTTCACTTCTCTTTAAGTTAAGCCTGCACTTATACATCAGGAGCATCACAAAGTTAAGATAATTTACATTTTCCTCACGCTGGTTTGCGTGGAGAGGGAACTAAAGGCGCCGCTGGTAGAACAAGATAATGACCCACCATAGTGAGGGCAAGAGATTCACTAAATAAATTAGACACAACATCTCTGCACCACCAGTGAGGCATCCTTTTCATTTCAATTAAATAAGAGACAAAAAGGGGAGGGAATTATTAACTCTGGCTTCCAAGTGCGCTGACAGAATTGGTGGCAAGCCTTTATGGGTGCCTGCTTCCTGATATGAGAAGGCAACTAATTGCAAAGTGTTCTGTAAAATCTAATTATCTCCTGAGACCTTAAAGAAAGTTGTCCTAGCAAATCTCTAACTGCGACCCCAGACGCCCTTTTATTTGTTTCAGAAGTGCACTTCTCTCGATTGAAGTGAGAGCGCTGCTCAAGCCGACCTTATGTTCCCGGTAAGAAGAGGCTGCAAACAAAGTCCCAGGATTTGTGCTTTCACAAAACTGTTGTCATTCTTGACCTGCTGTGCAAACTACAGCACAAGGCGAGGAATCCGAGGTTTAAAAGAGATAGAGAAGAGAAAAAAACCCCCAAAAAAACAATCCAGCAGGATTGTTTGGAGTTTCGTTTATGACAAACAAATCGGGGGCTGTTGCAGAGTGCAGAGAAGAAAGGGGGAGGGTCCTGCTTTTGAAGTTGTAAATTTCCCCTACAGTGGAACTCCTGAGGGAGATTAGGTGAATGTATGTGAAGGCTGGGAATGAAAGCAGTCAGGACGAAAGATAGAGAGAATATTAAACAGAGAGAGAGAGAGAGAGAGAGAGAGAGAGAGAGAGAGGGAGAGAGAGGGGCACCCGGGGGGCTGGCAGAAAGTTCATTTGAAGCAAATTTGTTATTCAAAAAAGGAAACGCAGTCCAACTAAAAGCTCCCAGCACGGCTCTGAGAGATTGAAAAAAGCATCAGGTAATCAAGGTGTTTCTTCCTCTTCCTGTCTACTTTCAAGGCTCATTCAACTCTCCGTATTGATGCGCCACCTCTAATGGTGAAATCGATGTCGTAGTGATGGAAGTGCCACTTAGCATAACCCATCTTCTAAAGCAGATTATGGAGCGGGTCACAGTGCAGCAGAGGGGGGGGCAGGGCCCGGATGAAGCTCTGGCTCTTCCTTGATATGGGTCATCAGAAATGGGCTGTGACAGCTTTCAGTGGTCGATACAGTGGAAGAAGGGGGAGCTTCACTCTATTAACTGTGGACACAACGGTGGAGCCGGAGCGTTGTGCAGAGTTCCAGAGGCCACGTCCCCCACAACAAACATCAGAACTTGTTAAGGACTCGCTCCGTCTCCATTTTGAACCAGCAGAAGCTCCGACCCTAATCCTTTGGCTCGAATCTGCTGTTGTAGCTTATCGATCGCGAGCCGCAGTCCCGAGTTAAACTTAACATGTTGTGATGGGGCTAATGTGCTGGTTAATGGCCACCGACATTATCTCAGCCATTTGGCCTCGGCCGCCCCCGCCCTGAAAAAGGAGAAGTCAGCTGACTCCAGAACCGACCAGAAAGAGAAATAATGAGAGCTGGGACACTGGCAGCTGGCCACCTGTATCTGTGTACTGTACGCCAAATCAGCAGGACACAAAAAGAAAAAGGGAAGTGCAAGAAGTAGCCAATTCTTATTCCGCTCAGGCCTCCACACAGAGACGAGATAAATAAATAAAAGAGGTAAGACATTAGAATGGAATAAATAAAAGTGAAGGGCGAAGAGGGGTCCTAATTAGCTGCTGCTCTTTGATGTGCCCGCCACCCGCTCTGCCTATGAACCTTTCAATTAATACATCCCCAGCTAAGATGGCTGTATCAGCTATTCTCTCTGCTCTGCCCATCCATTCCTTTTTACTCAATCATGTCAGAAGCCCGAGTCTATTTAGCCAAGGGAGCTCCATTAAGAAGACAGAATTCAGTGGCAGTGAGAAGAAAGGAAATGAATAGCACAGGAATAATGTCCATGAAAGACAGAGGGGGAAAAAAAAAAAAACACATTACAGGGATTTGACAGTGGAAATAATAGAAGAAGTGATGGAGAAGACGCCATTGTCAAATCTGTCTGGAGGTGTGTGTGTGTGTGTGTGTGAGAAAACAGAAGGGAGAAGAAGAGAAGAGGAGGATATGTGTAAATAGTGGAGGATAATGTGTGTAATGGATTGAAGCCTGAAGATGTTTGGTCAACCGGACATCAACATCCGCGACTCCAGGACGCGACAGATATTATTACGGTACCTCTGATATCATCACCTGTGTGAATGTCAACTTGGACATTTATCATTTGAAAACAAATCCTCCGTCACTGCGGCGTGTGCCACATGGCGAGAGATTGGAAATGGCAACGGTGTTTACCGAAGGATGCGGCGAGGCGCGATCTGCCTCTTTTTTTTTTTCTTTTTTTTTTTGTTTTCGCTCCATCGACACAAGCCTCGTATGACCTGCTCCTGACGGATGTGACAGCCAGTTTATCCAAATAAAGTTCCCATACGGTAGAGAGGGAGAGAGCATCACGCCCGCTGGGGAGAAGGGATGGGGTGTTTGGAGATGGCAAAGAGAGAGAGAGAGAGAGAGAGAGAGAGAGAGAGAGAAGTTTTGTTGCCTCAACAGAAGGTTACAACCCCTGTGATGGATGGACCATGAAGGAAAAATCCGCTGATTTCACTCCAGTGAGCTCTTGACCCACCCAGCCACCCACTTTGCTTTTTTTTTTTTCTTTCTTTTTTTTTTGGAGCTTTCTTTATCTGATCTGTGTGATGTGCGGCGCAGGGAGCGGACCGTGCATCACCGTGTGATCCTGCGCTCATAATCTTGTTTATTAAATGTCTATTCAATTAAAAAAAGGGCCTGGGCCCCCGTAGGTGATACACTGCTCTCAGTTGCCACTTTGTCAGTGTCGAGAAAAGGAGCTGAGGCCAGGCCTACCCGAGTGTGAAATTAAACAGGTGACAAATTTCCCTGTATGGCCAACAGTGGGAACACTGTCATTTTTCATTACTGCTAAATAAAAGGCGGGAGGAAACAACTTCCATTTTTATGCTCTGTGCCCCCCCCCCCACAAGACTAATGAGGATGGTTTTTAAGTCAGGTCTACGTAAGAGAATAAATCACATGTTCACTTCCTCTCCTGGCTTATCTTAGATATGAAGTATTGAGTGGGGGGTTGTGCACAGCGGTGATGTACAGCTTTGCTGCTGTCTACAATAGAGACAGAAAATACAGTCTTTGGTCTTACATTTTGTGACAGGGTGCTGTATTAGACAATATATACTCCTAATTTTGCCAAAACCTACCACCCATTCGTCTAGTCGGGGGTGAATATATCAACAACAAATCCTTTTTATGGTATGTAGCTGAAGAGAGGGATCCCGCAGCCAAACACAGATATTTCAAGGGGGGGAAAAACAGCAACTTGGTTTTGATCGTTTTACAATCACACCAGACTTCCTGTGGAGGGTCAGTTCCGATTCAAGGGGCTGAAAGGACTAGGGACAGAGCCTGCAGATAAAGACAGGACTAGTGGATGCCCCTAATGTGAGATTTATCGATTTGAGACAATCCCATCTCCACCCCTATCTGTGAAAGCATCGGTGCCCCTTTTGTTGAGAGGCACAATTTTGATGGAGAAGAGTGCAAAATGGAGAGAGACGAGTGGGTGGGATGGCAGGGAGCGAAAAAAGAAAAGAGAGAAAAAATTCTATTGTGTAAGCCTGATGGTTTTCTCTGAATCAAAATGAGCAAGTGATGGAAAAAAAAAAAAAAAAAAAAAAGGAGGATGTTCAGACACAGTATGAGAGCGAGAATGAAATAGAAAAAACTAAGCCATCAGGCACCACAAGCAAAGCAATGCCCTTGGGTGGGGAGCAGAGAGCGGTTTTTTTGCCTGATACCAGACAAGCAAAAGACAATGAGGACAGAGTGTGTGTGTGTGTGTGCGTGTGTGTGTGTGCATGTGTGTGTGTGTGTGTGTGTGTGTGTGTGGTGACAGTAAGTCTGCATCGTGGGCATACAGTTTCACGTTTGTTCATGTTCCACATACAAAAAAAGGTCACTTGTCTCAGTCAATGAAATGATGTTAAATCGACCACAAGAAGCTTTGGCGGGACCATTCGGCTCACAGGCCTCGGGCCAATGTGATAGACAATGGTAGACAGAAAAAAAAAAAAAAAAAAAAGAAAGGAAAAAATGAAAAGAAGGAAACACCCCTGGCTAGCAATCAAAATGGAAGTGGATTCCTCTCATCTCTATTTGCTCTGTCCTCCGTCTACCCCCCTCTCTTCCTCTCTTCAGCCATCGCTCCTGCTGGCAGGTGTAATCTGCTCCCCTTCACACCTTGTCAGCGGATGACTATGTTCGCCGTGACGACCCACCAGCCACGGGGGAACGGCATCGCTGCCGTCTGCATGACAACCGGAGGCTGGCACGTTCCTCCCTCCAGGGTTGTCCCCAAGACGGGCCGAGTGAGGGACTGTGATACTCCGCTTCGGTCCGTCACCGCTGATCAAGATATGATTTGCACGGTGTAATAGATCTCATTTATTCTGAATGTGGAGGAATGACGGAGCTACAGGCGTAAAAATCAGGGATTCTCACATTAAGAGCCATCGATCACACACTTAAGCATAATTGGATAGAAGGGCTTGATAAAATATATACCATAAATTCTCAAATATAAGCTCTGGTATTCAATGGCCGTGACTACAGCCCCTCATAAAAACCAAGTGAAATTACTCAGGCTATCAAGACTCTTATGGTAAATTCTGCAGAATGCACATGTGATACCCACTGGTCTGCTGAGAAATATTGTTCTCATTCACTAATACACCTTAAATACTTAATGCTATGCTATTCTCCAATGTTAATGTCGATGAAACGAAACACTTCCTGCAGATATTTCACATTAAAAGCCTGCTATCTCTAAGACTCTCTTGAAGACTCATCTCTCCCAAGAGCACCTCCTCTTACTGTGCGTGTCTTTACCTCATCTCCTTATTGAACAGATTCAGTACTTAGTACTTACACCAAGGTCTCACACTGCACTGAAGGTTTAGTGTTGTCCCTCACTTGTAAATAGCTTTGGATAAATGCGATAAATGTAAATGTAAAAATCTAAAAATGTGTTTGTGCTTTATGTGCTGCTGGAAAGCTAATTTGAAAATGTGAAAATTTTAAATCTTTTAATACATCTGTACGTGAAGGGGTTCGGTTTCATTGACAGTGGCTTAACACAAGATTAAAGAATGCCAAAGTAAGACCAATTGTAATTAATTAGTTTTAATTTATTGGAACAACAACGGGGGAAGTGTTGAGTTCCATAAAAACAAAAAACTAAACAAAAGAAAAAGAAAGCAGCCACAGCTGATAAGAAGCGGATGAAAAAAGAAGGGGGGCTTCTTACGTATAGAGAATTTACTGCGGCTGAAGAAATGGAGTATGAGATGCACTGATAAACAAACAAACATGACAGCCAAAGCATGAAGATTATCGTTTCTAAAATGCACAGCTGACCTGAACTTAATCACCCAGAAGTCATTTGTGTTCCTGTAACAGGTTTTTTTCAGGGATGTGCGGTGTGACTTTCACTTCATCTTGTGCCGTGTTAGCCTGTTGGCGTGCTGCTGGTGGCATATGCAACCATTATGAGAATCCACAGATGACTGAACACCGTATCACAGGTCACTTGATAAAGATAATTACACCATTGCAATGGCCGATTGGTTAATATAATTACACCATTTCAAAGTCCATTTCCTACCTTCATCACAGCTGCCGAGCTTTGCCACATCAATTCTCGCCTTCTGTATGCAGGAGGACAGGAGGAGTTCGCAGTTGTTGTCGTAGGTGGCGCCGTCGCTGCCGCACACGGGGGAGAAGGCCTCGTTGAAGCACTGCGGGCACTCGCACTCATTCTGGACACACCGGGCGCCCCAGGCACAAACAGTACTGCCGCATGTTTCTGTAACACACAGACACACACAACAGCAGAGGGACCGGTCAGCGCATGACGGGTCAATGCAGTAAAGGGAAACATTCATGGAGCCGTTTTGATGGATTTCATTCACACCAGAATTCAGAATGCATCTCTGGGAAAGATATTTAAACGAGATTCCCCTTTTTTCTGTCTGAACTGCGATTCATGCGACTTCCTCTTGTGAAATACCCGCTTTCTTAAAACTGACATATACATGTTCCCTCGGTGATTCCCCATCTGAGTAAACTGCAATTCCATTTTTTGACAAGTCTGTTAGATTATGACCAGCCCGCCTGCAGCTGTATCACTTTCCTCATGAGCTCTGCTTTCCGGAGTGAATTCAGAGCTTCACACATCTTTGTCTAAACTCAACCAGGATTCAAGCTTACACCGAGAACCCTTCGTATTATTCATTTGCTGTTGAGATTCAGGAAGTATGACACCATGTAAGCGTTGGACACACACTGTGTATGCATTACTTACTGCACTCTCCTTGGCTGACCACTCGGAGGTCCATCTGCTCTTTGCAGGCGCGCACATGCAGCTCGCACTCGCTGTTGTACGTGGTGCCATCGCTGCCACACACGGGCTGGTGGGTCTCCACACACTCTGATGCACACACACACTGTCCGCTCTGGGCGTCGCAGATTGCCCCGAAAGAGCAGTTGGCACAAGCCTCATCTAGATGGAGATAAAGAAAAAGGCGAAGGCTTAGTCTTTGTGTGCTGATGTGTGTATGTGTGTGTGTGTGTGTGTGTGTGTGTGTTTGAGGCTTTTTTTACATGACTCTGGAGGCAGGTCAGCTATAATAAATACCCTTTTAAATACCTGCTTTTACACTTTTTATATTTTGCTGTGTGGCAGACTTGAAAACGGATCAAAATTAATGCTTGTCATTGATCTGCGAACGTACTAAAGTGCATTTCAAACAGATCTTACCTTTTGACGAGCCCTCTCTCACATGGATATAAAAGTCTTTGTGCGACTGCACAACCTTAACTTTGCATTGTGAATATTATTACTGCAAATACTCACTTTCGCTACAGCCAAGACACTAATCTTTAGGCACTTTTGTGGTCAATATTTAATCAACAACACATATTATTACAGCAAAAAGACAAAGATGTGCCATTTTCAGTATTCATTAATCATGAATCTACTCATAGCAGCATCCACAAAACTATCAAATAATAGAAATAGTAAATAGTAAAAAATTGTTGTATTTGTATTTTTCTTTATTTAGCCCTTGGCAGTTGGTGTAGTGCTTAACGATGCAGCGCAGCAGCACAGACACAAGAACCGCAGAGATGCAAAGTTTCCATACAGAGTGTAGAATTGGTGTAAAACTTTATTGGAGTCCACCGGAGGCAGATTCAATTGATTTGAAATACTTTAGAAATGCATACACCTGTCTATTAAAAGCTGTCACAGTTCATATGCATGTGGGAGCTAAAAACCAAGCCATGAAATTCAGAAATTTCCCCACAGATAGAATTCTTCCGAGGCACAGATCTGGGGGGTGGAGGGGGGGGAGATGCTAAAGTGCTGAAAGTTCCCAGAAGCATCGTGGGAAAACCACTTTTTCTAGAGCTGAAACTTCACAACTGAACACAAAGAGCTTCAGAAAAATCTCTGCAAAAACAGAAGAGTTGGAATAAAAGAGCCAGAAGGACGACCATCCCTGCAGCACTCCATCAATCAGGACTTTATGGGAGAGTGGTCAGAACTGAAACTACTCCTGAGAAAAAGCCACACGACAGCCCGGCTGGAGTTTGCCAAACGACACTTCAAGGACGCTGAAAGCATGAAGGAAAAAGATTTGCTGGTCTGATGAGATGAGAATTGAACTCTTTGGCCTGAATGCCAATTGCTGTATCTAGTGACAGCCAGGTACTGCTCATCACCTGGCTACCACCATCCCTTTGAGGAGGTATGGTGCCAGCATTATCTTTTAAGGATGCTTCTGAGCACCAGGTTCTGGGGAAACTAGTCCGGATTGAGTGAGAAAAGTTCCACTTTCCTTGTTGTATCTATCACTTTGTAGGTTGTTCACATCGACTTAAAACTGAGCTATCTTCCACAGCACTTCCAACAGTGAATCATGGCAGATGACATCTGCATTTTCTCTGCAAAAGACTGCACTGAGACACAAAAAAGGCTTGAGGAGCTTTTGCAGTCTTTACTTTACTTCACTTGGATCATCTTGAGGAACTCGCCTGCGTCTATGGGGGCAACATTTTTTTTTCTCCCCCTCAAGAAACAGCAAGGCGGGATCAGAGGTGTTCAGGGTAGCGACAAATGTCACACGGAGGGGAGGGGGCAGGAAAACAAATGAGAAGGCAAGCGCGAGGCCTCATCGAGAGACAGTGGATGCACCTCTCCCTCTGACACCAATTACACCGGGAGGATTGCATTAGCACAGCTCACTATCACATTCAATTAGAGGCAGGCTAATAACCTCTGCTGATTTAGCAGTAATTGAGAGAGGCGAGGCTGGCCCCTGGAACCCTTCCGCATTATTAATTTGTTTATTGCTCTCTTAGAGTCTTTCATTTCATTCATCTCTCCATCTAGCGCTGGCATCCACCCCCTTCTTGGATTAACAGCCTTTTACAGCACTTAACATACAGAATATTGCCTGCAGAAGCAATGGATTGTATGTGAGCAGAATGATTTCATACCTTAAAAAAATGAGATGGGTGGAGCATGCAGGATCAACATTTCCCCCAAACTGATGTGTATTTTTGGTCTATTCATGGTTCGGCTAATTAGTTCCAATAAGGAGAAATCTTAAAGCCACAGCATCCAGTGATATTTTAGACAATAATGTGATTTGTGCCAAGAGTTTTTGCTCCTTCCACAAAGACAGATCCATAAAAAAAAGATGTTAGCGAAGCTTTTCTGTGACAAAATAAATAAATATAAAACAGAAGTGTCTTTAAAATGAGGGTTGCTGTGGTTCAGCTATAAATCGGGAAGCGGTGGTGGTGGTGAGTGTTGTCCTTTATCGGGCCTGTGTCCTGATAGCAGCCTCGCCTCTTTATCAGCTCTTGCCCCTCGCAGCTGGCTCTTCCACACTGCCTGATCCTCCAGACAACATGCATCACAAACAGACAGAGAAGGAGGGGAGCCTCACTTCAAAGCCAGGAGAAGAGGGAGAATTATTGCCATTACTGGCAACATTAAGACTTCCGCTTTCTGTCATCTCCGATTCAGACATCTCCGAGTCTGTCTTCGCTAATCTTGAGTTTCCATGTGCTTCTCTCTCTGAAGGCAGACAAGTTCACCGTCATATAAAACTTGAGACTTTAAGGTGAAACGTCTGACAGGCTAGTCATTATGACACATAGGCAGGATGTTAAAAAAGTGAGTGCCAGTGTTGTAACATTAGAGGCGGAGATCTTTCACCTCATTCACATGCCTTACACGTCCAACAATGTGAGAACCTCTCCGGTCGAGGAAGATATAGAGTCCAACGCAGCGAGTGCAGCATCAAAGTGAGATATTTTAAGGGCTTTTCATGCCAGCTCCAATAAAATCTAATACCAACTGTATCCAAAAGAAAACTTAGCTTGAAGAGTGAGCTAAAAATTGTAAAATAAAAAATAAAATAAAATTATAGCAAGACAACCCAGGTAATCACCAACAGCAGCTCAAAGTTGGCACCAAACATGACCTACCTCCGGCCCCAATAAACGGCTGCCAGATTGGATATGTCTTGGGCCAGCGGAGGTGGGCAGAGAACCAGCAACACACGATACAACACAACACTTGGGCCAGCGTTGAGCCAGCACTGGAGCCCGGATCAGTGGAGATGGGATGATATTTGCGCAACCATTCATCACAAGCCTGACATGAGTCTGGCAATGCGGCGTGCTAAATTTATGCTGTTGTTGGGGTAAACCATTTTGCTCCTTGGGAGAAAATCTATATTTCTAAGCCGCATGAAGCTTTGAAAGGAAACACAATATTCATTTTATTTAACGCACACTGGGGTCGTCTTGAATTTACATATCTAAATTGAAAATATTAGCAGCTGAGAAGCAGATATTATTGCGTCACATGAGCTGCTTTCATTAACCGTGAACATTTCGTGAGTCATGGAAATTTTAGTGTCATCCCTTCATCTATCAGACGTAATTACACAACGTTGTAGGTCACTGCTTCACGTATTTGGGTAATGTTGTGGAGTCTCCTTTTAGTATATCATCTTTCTACAAGTCACTCCTCTAAACATCAGACCAAACTCTTTTTTCTTTCTGCTGAGGACCTGTTGAATTTACTCGAGGTCTCCTTCAGGGGGACCTGAACCTAACGCCGGGAGCCACTGATGTTGGGTGTTGCACTGTGACGGCTTCGGTTGTTGTGTTTGGTGGCGGTATTTGTGGCTTTTAGATATGAGTGTGAGGCATAGTGGGCAGGTTGGTGTAAAAAGTGGCCTTGAAAGCATGAACGATTGAGTCATTGAGGAGAGGGGGGAAAAAAATAAAAATAAAAAAAATCGGAGGCCCTCCAGCTTTACAGCGTTTTGTTGATATCCTCACCGGGAAAACTCTGAATTGTGGCTGAGGGGGTCTGGGCGGAGTATTACCTCAGGATTAAGCAGGAAGAAGTAGGCTGGTCTGTGTTTTGAAGGCTTGTGAACATGCCTGGATGATAACAACTCCCCCGTCGATGCCTGTCTGGCCAATACACTATAAACTCTGCTTCCCACTTTCTCTGCTCCTCCTCATCTTATTTACCCCCATCTCCTTGCCTCCCTGCATTTATTGCCCCCCCCCTTTTTCCCCTCTGCCCTCTCTTCACTGCCTCTCTCTCTCCGACCACTCTCACGCTGCTGGTGTGACCTATATTTCTTACTCAACTGTGTATATCATCTCCAACACCTGTGGGAGAAAAAAGGAAAATTTGTTATTTCCTTTTTCTCAAATGATTCCGGCGTCTCTGCTCTCATCTGTTTGGGTAAAGCCGTATGAATGGGCCTTTTTCCGAAGCAACTGATATCCAGCCGGGGGGTCTATTAACTGAGCGCCCCCTCTCCCGCTCCGCAGTACAAGGTTACCCACCATTCAAACGCAGGGGGGAGGAAAAAAAAATCTGGGAATAATAACAAATGTCACTCATATCGCTATTGGGTTGCACCTGAGTCATATAGATAACCACTATTTTTCCAGCCCAGAGGGGAGGAAATGAAATTATAGCTGAGGCCCATGAGAGGCTGGAGTGAACCACACACACGCACACACACACACACACACACACACACACACACACACACACACACAGACACTCACAGTTAAGCACACATGCGGTTATTTTCCCTATTGTGGCACCTCTCTCACCCTTTAAACTACGGCTGCCCTCACCTGCCTCCACTAAGCTCCTGCTTCTGAGCCTGAATCAAAAGTAATACACATAAAAACAGATGTGAATAGATAATAAAATGTGGCATATGATTAGAGTCCTATTGAAAAAAAAAAAAAAAAGGTATAAATCTAGATATGTAACAATGCTATTTAATGGTTGGGTTACTCAAGCACCTGGGTGTCACAGAGATTTCCCTCTTTATTCATAACCACTTTCTTTCATTGCTCGTGCCTTCAGCTTTTAATTCCAACACTTCCAACACCACCTGAAAGCAGCATATGCTCTTCTCCTCTCCCTCCTTTTCTGCTCTATAAACATGCTTAGTATATTGGTGGTGGGAATAGCCTGCGATAATTAGGTGAGATAATAGCTTAAGTCAGTCAGTTGTTATGGTGCTGAATAAAGTCCAGTAAAGCTGTGCAAACAGCCCAGAAATAACCCACATTATCATCGCCATCATTCCTCGGCTGGCTCGCGCCTGGCAAGCCAATGCCTCAGCATTTTTATGGCACCATTGCGCTGACGCAGGCCTGTTCCTCTGGGAGCCAAGAACCATCCATAGCGCTGGATTACAGACAGGGCCCTCCACTCCGCCAGCTCGCTCTGCCTCTCGCTTTTTAAAATAAAGACTATTCATTACCGCACAAGGACCCTGAGCCGACAAACCTGCCATCTACCTGCAGTGCGGCGCACCAAATTGAGTCTGCCCGCCTGCCCACCGACTAAACACGCTCTCGCTCCATTTCCTGTTGGCATACATCCTCCCGCGCTGGATTTCAATTTAGAGAAGGCTGGGAGGGAAAGATGACAGATGCAATACACGGGCAGGCAGAGAGGAAAGAGTCCACACAGGACCTCTCCAACAACTACACCTACCATCTACTGCGCACAACAAGAAACTCAAACCACCGTTCATTTTACAAAACAGTCAGACTAGCCTGTACAAACAAACTCCAGCCATAAACTGTTTGCACACTTTAGAGTACAATTTCATACCAGCAAAGTGAGACTAATTCACTTGTATTGATCATTTTGCTAACTGCTCAGCTCATGCACAAATACAGCGCCGCAGACGCCAACTCATTTTCATTGTCACGGTCTTGAAAATATGCAGATAAAAATCTATCGCAGTAAAACTGAGTGAATGGTAACTGAGACTCGGGCCAAGGGGCCAATAACTGCTGTACTCCTGCCCAGTGTGTGTGTGTGTGAAAAGCGAATGGCTTGATTATAGAAAAGGAAGTACCCTCAATCACCAATTAGAGTTCATGGGAAAACTGGCCTTGCAAGATGGCATTAAGCCATCAAGAGTATTCACTAAGTGGGTTTACCAAGCTGTAAAAATCAGTCCGGGTGGCTGTGTGCCTGCACAGTGGGTCTGAATATATTTTTACCACTTGAAGCTCTGCTGTCGTTGGTGTACTAATAACTAGCTGATACTCCGACACGGCAAGACAAAGCCAAGTGACTCATGTAGCCAATTACAGAAAAGAAATGCTCTGCGCTCTCCTTTCTCTGTGAGAGAAGTGCATCTTCACTTAAAGGTCAGAACAAGCGATCGAGAACCTCGGCGTTTGTGCAGAATGGCTGACGAAGAGCAGGAGGGAGGAATGATGAATGAGAGATCAGGAAATTCCTTAAGAGGCCTGAAGGTGCGTTAAATATTGTTTTGGCTTTGTTGGATTAAAAATGGGAAGCCCCAGGGGTTCACACAACTCCATGTTCTCTATGTTAGTTGTTAATGTCTGTGGATTATAATTTTTCCTACGGGTAATGTGGCAGTTTTAATTAATATGAGCTAAATTATATTCCACAAGGTCTCCATCTTTTCCTACCTGTGAGCTACGACTCACGCTGTTTCACAGAGATTTCATGACTGTACTGTAAGCGACTGTATGGTGTAATGTGACTGCATAATGTATGAACGTGACGCTCACCGGTAATTCATGAATGGGGCGCCGGCATACTTCAGTTCTATTGTTGTGCAGATACTCACCGCAGGGTCCTTTGTGCTGGATGTGGATGGCCCTCTGCAGGGCGCAGCCCATCGCTCGCATCTCGCAGGGGCTGCCGTAGCTGTGGCCGTCGGACCCGCACACGGGGTCGGACGTCTGCGGGCAGGCCTCGGGGCACTCGCACACCGGCTCGTTGTTTTTGACCACGCACACCGCCCCGTGGTCGCACACCTTATCCAAACACGGGCTCCGGACGTTGAGATCTGAAGACCGACCACCCAAGAGACAGAGAGCAAAGTTAGAGGGCTGAACGCAGCAGGGGGGTGGGGGGGTGGGGGGGTCGCGGAGTCGGAGGAATATAAAGCAGAGGTTGGAGAAAGGTCTGGGGCTGGAAAGGGCATAGGTGACAGGGAGGTCAGTTAAGAGTAGAGCTACATGGTGAACTGAAGGTTTCGTGTTAGAAGGGGTTTGGGGAGGAGAAGGGACATGATGGAATATGCAATACAACCCTGCTCCTGTGACACCTCTGCTTCCTCAGCTTCCTATGTCATTTCCTCGCCTTTGTGCCTATCCTGATATATCCTGATTCTTTGAAGAGTCCGCCGAATCCGGTGGCATGAGGACAGCGGATAAAAAAAAAAAAAAACACGGCCCTGTAGCACAATAAAGATGAAACAGCCTACGAACAATGGTTGCACAGCCTTTCTTTTTTTTTTTTTTTACTCAGGCGAGTAAACGGCTGGATTAATTGACGTTCCCAATGCGCCCCTTCAAAGGATGCCATTTGCATCTCAGTGAGAGCCACTGCTTCTGCCAAAGCCAGAGCTGGTTGAACTGACATGGAGGAGTGAGAAAAAGAAGAGCATAAATGGGAAGAGTTTGAGAGAGAACGAGAGAGAGAGAGAAAATGTAGAGAATGGAGAAAGAGAGAAAAAAAGAAAATGAAAAGAAAGAGGCGAAGAGAAGAAAGAGCCCTCTGCTTAATAATTCAAAAATGGCAAGCTCCTGGGCAGAGGCAGATATGAAATGTGAACATCACAGAGAGGTGTCTGCTTCAGTCTCTTCCTCTCACGCACTAGCTCCAGCATGACTTCATTAAAACAAGGACTCGATTTTGCACCTATGATTCTCTGTAGCGGCGGCGGCGGCTGGGCTGATATAACCTGACTTGATCAGAAGAGAGAGGAAAACAATCCTTTGATCGCAGCCCGCCACCATGAATTTATAGCTTTACGTGTCAATGAAAATATTACATGAAATTGACAGGGAGCCAGTGTGCATGTGTCAGTTTGGAGGGCTTGGCTGATGATGGGTAAAAAAAAAATGGAGGCCTTAAGGTTGGACAGCGCACACTCTGCTACCGAGAGTAAGCAAGAGACAATAGCTTGGCTCCACGGCGAGTTTTCATTTGGAAAGCTTCACACATGAGCGACGGATCACTCCGCTAAATGTGGTGTGTCTGCAGATTAGAGGGAAAAAAAAAAAAAAAAGCCGACGGAGGCGTCAAATAATTTTCTGATGAGGGGCGCTGGTGAAAAGTGAAAGAGGTGCATTTTACACCCAAAGTCAGAGCTTCTTCCTTCTCTAATCTGCTCTACCTCGGAGTGGGGTGGGGTGGGGTGGGGTGCTGTCATGGAAACTGCCCCATGTAATGACACCACCCGTTGCTCCATCATTATTGTGACCATTATGGGATTAGATGGCATCGCAGGGGGCCAACTTGGCGTGCCTGGAGCCCCATGATTCATTTATCAGCTCAGAAGCGTTCTGTGGCGCCTCTCCTCAAAGCGCTAATACTGGGGTAAATTATCAACTGATAACACAGACGGAGGCGATTAGCTTGTTTCACTCTGATTAAGGCGACGGAGCGGGAACGTGATATAAGGATCAGTGTCACCTGAGCATGCTGAGACCGATCCTGAGCGATATAGATATATAAAAGTAGTGTGGTCTGGGTTCTCCTCCACTTCCTGTTGTTTTTTCTTAATAAATTTGAACAAGGACGCGGGGTTTCTCCTGTTTCTGAAAAAAGTGAATGTTTCAGCTCAGAAGGTGGAACGCTACTGATTTCTGTGTTTCAACGCCAAGCGGCTCTTTCAAAAAAAAAAGAAAAAAAAAAAAGGGCTTGGAGGTGCCACAAAAGTATGTAAGCTGTTCAATGCCGCTTAATTTGGTACGGCTTCAAAAAACAATCGATTCCCCCTGATCTCTTTTCAACGCCTTGTGTGTGTCTGCTAGCTGGTGCGCGTCGTAAGCTTGCGATTCGAGCTTAACTGTACAACCTTGGCCTCCATAAAAGTTCACCAGCCCACTTCCCAAGGACAGGCTCCTAAAGCACAGCTGCAGCCACTGATAACGCCTTTGTCTCCCATTCTCTTTGTTTCACACACATAAAAAAAGATGAAAGAATTCCCCTCCAAAACTAATTTTTTATCATCCTCTACCTCTGGGGGGCAAAATTTCTGCCTGATTTATTAACTGGAGAGGGTGTAAGGGAAAAAAAAAAAAAAAAAAAGGGAGACAAAACTCCCCAAGTGTAAAAATCTTGTGACACAGTTAAAAGCTGAAGCTGTCTTTTTACTCTCTCTTGGATGCAGGCAGAAGCTTTGAAATGGCAGCTTGTCACAACTAAGGCTTGTGGGATGGTGTTCACAAGCCTGTTCCAGCTCTCTTTCTCTCCCTGGTCTTCTCCCAAACACTTATCTTTTCATGCGTGTATCAGTGTTTCTGTCAGGCAGGTCCAGATTAAGCCAAAGTTTCTGGGGTTTAACGCGAGCTATTCACACGTGAACATTAGCTCGTCTGTCGAATGGGGACCACGTAAGCCGAGGAGTTGTTTAGTGGCTGAGCAGGTGCAGGCAGCGGTCTGCTGTGGCAGTGGGGAAAAGTCAGGGGAAATAGAAAAAAATAGAATAATAAAATAAAATATATAGATATATATATATATTTATGAATAATTCTTTCTTATCAGGGATTCTGCTCTGCTGGTGTGTGCACTCCGCTCTGCTTCTGTACCACCACACTGGTTAAGAGGACTTTAGATTCTGGGTGTCACCTCAGTCTCTCCTGCCAGCCGCTTTGTAACTTTTCTGTTTTAATTAGTGCGGTATTTTAATGGCACGGCCCTGCTTCAGGACTCAGAGGGGATTACTTCAGGTTAGGCCTCGCTGTGTCAACTAACGCCGGCAGAGGTCCCGGCTGGCCTCGTCGTATACTCAAGAGGGCACGTTCCTCTGATGTTCGGATACCTGCTTACCTGTCCGCCTGAAGTATCATTACCGCCCGCTTAGCGGTGTTATCTGACGGATAAAGTGGCGAGGGTGTCGCAGTGCAACTTCTAAAGCGTTTAAAAACCCCTCGTTAGGTCGGTGTTGCGGCACAGCAGGCCCCGGCAGGACTCTGGCTCTGATTGTGTGGTTGCTGCAGAAAGAAGGCGTACCACTGTTAACCCCCTGTAACATGCCGGTGAAATGCCGGGAGATTATTTTGGCTAGAGCTTCCTCCCATCTCCGCTCAGCTCATACATATGCTAATTGGACTTTTCCCCCTCGGGTCCGTGTGCAATTCCAAAATCGCTCCCTGTATTATGCAGGGCAGTGAATCAGTGTAATCCAGGTGATGCTTGCAGTAGCCAACTGGCAGGGAGAATCACCTACAACCGCAACCCATTACAACACAGGACTCCAATGGGGCACAGCCAATCTACGGCAAGCCCCACCCCCCTCTGTGTTTCTTCACCTGCGGGGCTTTGATCCGACTCCCTTCGCCTCCGTCGCATTAAAAACATTTATGTATCATATTAGTCGAGGGAAAGGGAGGTGCAGAGAAAAGGCTATATTAGCATACAGCAAAAAGGCATACCCGCGGGCTGTGTCTGTCTACCACTGAATACTTATCACAGGCAGGAGGTAAGTTGAAGCCTCTTTGTGCATTTACAACTAAGAACGTGCTGCTCTTCAAAATGGAAACAACCAAAAACAGTGTGGGGAGAGAAGAAAGACGAGCCGGGATCCCTGATCTTGTGACATGTATCTATCAGAGGTGAGATGACATCTAAACACTGTTTGTCTAATCCAAAAAGGTGACTCTATCATCGGGATGCGTGTACGCCACAGGAAGTCTCAAGAAATAAAAAGATTTTGGAGCTCTCTCAGACTGATGCGCACAAAAGAAAACATGAGTAAAGACGGAGCGACAAAAGCTCAATGTTTATTGCATCTCCAATCAGGTCGAGAGCTGCAGCATGAAGAAGGGCTCAGAGGAAACAGGAAACGAAATGAAAAATGTATAAATTGGAAAAACTGCGTGGTTGATCACAGCCCGACGGCGTGTAACACCCACAGTGCCTCGAGTCACTTCTGACACCCTGTTGACCCACATTTCTCTGCAAGTTCTGCACGATGACAGCCTGCGGGCCGCAGTAAGTGGACCGACGGTCCCTGGCTGCTGTCAATCTCGCTCCCACAGCACTTCCTCTAATTAACTTGATTAGGAAAAACAGCACTGGTGATCTCAGCCTGACTTACATACTCGAGCTCCACAACTGATTGTGAGTCCAATCACCACAGCTGCGTGTCAGCGCGCAGGCGGAGATGCTCATCAAATAAACATGCAAATGATAAAATATTCGGCACAGAGTCTTGACACCTAAGGTGACTGATTTTCCTCTCCTGCTTTGCAGAACTCTTTGTCAATGACAATGTGTCTGCCGCTGAGTGATTCTGTGTTAACCTCCAGAGGCGACAGGCGACACATTATAAGCAACAACTTACATGAGTTTTTTTCTGGCCTTGCAGTCACGCACGCACACGCGCACGCACGCACGTTCAGCTGTGTACACATGAAATGACTCAAGAGCTGTGAATAAAGAATTTGTGTCCGCAAAACTAGCTCTCCCATTTGTTCACTCCTACTTTGTCTGCCAGTGCGTTCCTCTCAGACTGTGTCTGTTTTAGTGATTTTACAGAATCGTCCTCCTCTGTGCTGTCTGAAGTCACACTGCTGCCTGTACTTCTACTTTATGAGCAGCCTAACTACCAATTTAGAAACTCCTCTCTACTTCTTACTCTTCTTATACCAGACATGAGGCCGGCACATCAGCAGGCTCCAGGGAGTTATGGCGAGCCACTTCACACTCCCGCAGTCACTTCCATTGATTCAAAGTGCGACTTGAATATGCACTAAAATAGCTTGACTTGAAGGAGCTGTGGAAAACAACCTCTGGGCAGGAAGTAAGCCGTGATACAACTTGGGCCAAGACTAA